CTGTAGACTTCTGAGGGGCCTCCCACTCTTCGTTCAACAGACAAGCGACTGCACCGCCCCATCTCCCGGGGGGGCCCTGGTCGGCCATGGCGCCTCCCCGAGGCTCCCCAAGGCTTCCACGACGGCACAGGAATCCAACCCGGGCCGCCAAGATATCTCCCAGACAGCCCAAGATGGCTCCAAAACGACAGGATTACCCCAAGACTGCCCAAGAGGCACCAAAGAAGCCCCATGGGCGCTCCAAGAGGACACCCAAGAGAGCCCTAAGAACTCGTCTTGAAGAAAGGAGAAAGAGGGAGAGAGAGAAAGAGAGAGTGAGAGAGACCAGAGTAGCATTCGTTTGTTCAGAAGCACCAGAGTAGCATGTGAGAGAGAGAGAGAACGAAAAAGGAATAGAGAAAGAGAAAGAGAGAGAGAGAGAGAGAGCGCGAACATCCGATGAACACCGTAACACCAATCGCTTCGCCACGCCTGTCAGGAGACCCGTCCTCGGGCACGCAACAACGACAAGCGGAACTGTGGAGTTGGACTGCAGCTTTCCGCGTCCATCCCGCCAGAACCTTCACTCGATGGCACCTAAAAGAGATGAACACTGGACACTGGCACTTACAAACACGAAGGGGGAGGAGGAAGGAGGAGAAGACAAAGGGGTAGGGAGGACCAGAAGAAGCAACAATCGGTGCTGCTCATTGTATGTGCTGTCTGCGTCTGCGTTCTAGCCTTTTCGAGCTTCCCACGCTCCAAGACTGGCCCCAGGGACCCTCCAAGACCGCCCCAGGACGGCCCAAGAGGCCTCCAAGAGGGCCCCAAGACGGCCTGCGGCGACCCCAGAACAGCCCAAGGGGCGTCCAAGAAAGCCCAAGAGAGCCCCAACACCCAGGACAGCTCCAAGAAGGGCCCGGGAGGGGGAACACGAACCGACAACTCCAGCCTTCCGCCCGCGAAGGGGCCACCAGGAGGCCCCAAGAGGCCCAGAAGAAGCCCCAAGAGGCCTCCAAGAGACACCCCAGAGGCCCTACAGAGGCTCCAAAGAGGCCCTCAAATGGAACCCAAGAGGCCTCAAACCTGCCTCCAGCAGGCCCCCACAGGACCTCCCACGATATCCCAACGAACATCCAGAGGGCCTACACCCCACAACTCACACACGGTGGCGGGACTTGCCGTAGGCAGCTGCATATTCCACCACGTAGATTGCACCATTGACTTGGCATCACATAGACTGAACAACATCGACTGTACAACATGTGTTGCACAACAACTATTGCACCACACAGACTGATCCATCTACATTGCTCCACACATATTGCACAGCATAGCTTGCTCCACATAGCTTGCACACCATATACTGCATCACATTGATTGCACACCATATACTGCGCCCTCTAGGTTGTCCCGCATATGTTTCACATCATAAGGTGAACCAATAATATTGAACAGCATGTATTGCACAAGTATTAAGCAGCATATCATGTACCACATATGATGCACCGGCTGCGCGACACATATTGCACTAGCTAGATTGAGCCACATTGGTTGCACCACCTGGGTTGCTCAACACGCATTGCATTACAATAACCTGCACCACCAGGACTGCACCACGTGTATTGCACTACATTACTGCACTACCTAGATTGCACCACATGGGTTGCACAACTTATATGGCTACAAACACGCAGTATGGGATCCGCGCTTTCTCACGTATCATAACGTAAACGTATACATGTGCAGGCGTGTGTTTGTAAATTCGCATATGTGAATGTGTGCCACCACATAGCTTGCAACACATATCTTACACAACATTGCTTACACAGCAACGCTATCATCGCAAAGCTTAATACGATATAACCTACACCACAATGGTTACACGACGTAGATCGCACCGCCAAGCTTACACACAACAAATGACACGTCATAGTTTGCACAACCGCATACACCTCCACCATGCGATAATTCACTGCTTGGGGTCGTCCACGCTGGCGAATCTCTTATTGCGAGATAAGACAGGAGCGGGCAGCATGACTCGACATGAAATATGAACCATCACGACGCGAGGCCGCAACACATCAGGCTACAACAAATCAGACCACAGACCGCGATCAGAGGATGCCAGGGGGGGATTGTGGCGTATTGCTGACCACCCTTGAGGGCAGGCATATCATCCCGTCGACTCGGGTGGGGCACACGGGCTCTCTGATCTCCGAAAGCAGTGCTCGCAAATATTCGGAGGGCAGGCCTTCTGGTCCCAGAGCCTACCACAGGGGCCGAGGAGGGAGGGAGGAGCCATAGCAGCATCCACAGGAGCAGCGGCAGCGGCGTCGGCACCGCAGGAGCCAAGGCGGGAGGAGGAGGGGGCCACGACGACGACAACAAGAACAACGGACAGCATACGGGACGATGGGGGACAAAAAGATGCAAATATCGCTACTCCGCGGACCTCTCCAGGGTGCGTTCTGACCGGAATTTCGAGGCGAATCCAGCCGTGGAGACGCGGGCCTCCAAGGAGGCTCGAAAAGGCGAAAACGATGCAAGGGTAGCAGTGTCGGTACCTTTCCCCCCTCCCCAGACATCCGACGACCTGACTTTTTCAGCGCGCGGCCCCAGGAGGTCCCAAGCCCTTTCGCCCCGGATCAATTGTTGATGGCACCAGGCCAGGGCCCGATCATGGGCCCTGGATGGCCAAATCGCGGAAAAACCGCCAGCCACGACGACGACGGCGGCGAGCCCCCCCCGGCGCAGTGGGGGACGCGCGGGTCCTCGACGCCGCACAGAGGCCGGCCCTCGGCCGTCCCCCAGCCGGCCCGCGCGCTCACAACGGAGGCCTGGCCTCGACCCCCCTCCAAGACGAAGCCAGGACGAGGATAACATCGGGGGAGGAAAAATCGGGGATCCCTGAGATCTGGCGGCGCTCGAGGATGTCTCGCGCGCCGCGGCCTTCGCATGAGCGTTCCGGAGCGTTCTGAGGGCGTTCCCGAAAGCTCTGGAACGGATGTATCCTCGTCCGAGGCCCTTCCGACTCCTCGGTGCTCCGTCGCCAGACATGCTCGCGTCGCGAGAAATTCACGACTGAGAATTTTGGCCGTGTTCGGCTTCCAGGAGCTCTCGCGGGGCGGCCCTGGGACTGTCAACAAAACAACTCGGGAAGAAAATCTGACAACTGGGGAAAGGGTCGGGGACTACTGGGCCTCTTCGATCCTTCAAATTCCGACGACCATTTTTTTGTCAATCCGGGCGTTTGCCCTACATTTCGGCTTCTGGGCTCCGTGTTGGGGTCCCAGGGACATCAAAAACGGGTCCAGGGCAATAAACTGCCCGCTGAAAACACCAGATCGGCGGATGTCAGGGTCCCCCTCCTCGGTCCGTCTGCTTCCTCCCCGCTCCGATCATTGGTGCTGCAACTTCTTTCCGCGGCGTGCAACCCTAAGCATTCTCGTCATCCGAAGCCGTCTTTCGGCGGCTCAAGGGCTGAGAAGCGGCATCGAAGGGGCCGAAAGCTTCAGAAACATCTACTGTCGCAAGTGCTTGTTGATTGACCTGAATCTGCAGGCATCCCTCCTCCTCCTCCTCTTCCTCCTCCTCCTCCTCCTCCGTCTCCTCATCCTCCCCCTCATCCTCCTCTCAACAACAACATCATCATCAGCAGCAGCATCATCAGCATCAGCATCATAGGCAGCAGCATCATCATCATCAGCATCAGCACCAACATCATCATCACCAGCACCGTCACCGTCACCATCACCATCGTCCTCCTCCTCCTCCTCCTCCTCATCATCATCATCATCATCATATTAATCATCGTTAGCAGCATCAGCATCAGCATCAGCATCAGCATCAGCATCAGCATCAGCATCAGCATCACCATCCTCCTCATCATCATCATCAGCATCATCAACATCATCGTCATCAGCATCATCATCAGAAAAAAACATCATCATCATCATCATCATCATCATCATCATCATCATCATCATCAACATCATCATCTGCATCATCATCCTCGTCCTTGTCCTTGTGCTCTTCCTCCTCCTCCGCTTCCTCCCCACCCTCGTCTGTAGGGTGCGCACACGAGGGAGGACCGGGTGAAGAGGGGTCGATGCATCTTGGCCCGAGGCATGTACGCAGACGAGGGGGGGGACAAGCGACGCACTGGAGAAAAAGGCGCCATGAAATCTGGAAGATTTCTTTGCCCCGCAATGATCCGCACACCCCTAGTCCGCACCCTCCTTCTTGAGGGTCACCGGTGGTGGGGAACTGGCTCAGGTTTGATGTTCCCCCCCATGAGTCAGGGGGCAAACATCGACCTTGAATCGAGGACACATCTCCATTAGATCGGCGAAGGGCCCCCGATAGCACAACGAAACGCTCCTGGTCGGAGTGGGCTATCGAGTCCCCATCGCCAATGAATGGGCGAGTGGGGGGGGGGGGGGAGGCGTCCTCTCCCCCTGAGCCTATCGCCTATCCCCCCCGGACTCGAAAACTTCAGAAGACAGCTGATTGGAGGCTTGGAAATGGGCACCAACCCCAACACAGGGGGCTACCTCCACAGGGAAGATGATCCCAGATTCTGGTGTCGGTGGTAATATTTTGGCCACCTTGGAAGCCATACCATTACCACCGTCACCGAGATCGGGATACTCTTCCCCTGGTGGAGGCACACCGCCGATTTTGGTGTTGGTGTCAACCTCCAGGCCTGCGAGATGAGAACTGTCGAACCCCCCCCCCTGAGCCTACAGCCCCTCGCGTTGCTCCTGGTTTCTGGGCGCCGCCAGGGCCAGGACGCCCCTGACTGGGGAAACCAAAAGGTACTGATACCGCTACTCCAAAGACCTCTCTCAGAGTGCGCTCTGGCAAGGATTTCGAGGCGAATCGAACGGTGGCGACGAGGGCCTCCCAGGAGGCTCAGAAAAGGGAAAACGAGGGAAAGGTAGCGGTACGGGTACCTTTTCCTCCTCCGGCTGGCTTGTCGCCCCCCTTCCCAGCGGACGGCAAACGACGGTGACTACTTCGCATGGGCGCCGCGCGGGGGTGCCGCTGAGAGCTGGGCATGTTGAGTGCCTCGGACACCAGGTGGTGGTCGCCCGGGGGCCTCGGGACGGAGGAGGGAAGGAAGGAAGAGGAGAACGGGGAGGGGGGACGACGAGGGGACGAGTGTGGAGGAGTGGGGAGGAGGGAGGAAAAGAGGACGGAGGAGGATGGGGGGGGAGGAGGATGAGGAGAAAGAGGCGGAGGAGGAGGAGGAGTAAGCGGGCCATGTTAGATGAGCAATGCAATGGCCTGCCAGGACGCTCGAACGATAGTGCTCTACATCTTGTTAGGACAAAATCGAGTGCTGCTAAAAGCGAGAAGACAAACACTGGCTTCATCTATTCGGAACTGCGTTCCGCATTTTCCACTACTGCCAAGCAGCTGGCCATGCAGCTCCCGAGGGACGAGGAGCTGGTTCAAGAAGTGATTGACAATCTTGAAGCCCCAGGGATCGATCTAAGCAATGGTTTCGTTTTCGTTTGGTGTTCGCTTTCCCTCATTTTGCCTTCAACCCGCCTTTGCTGCAAGACGAGATCCAAATGACAACGGCCCACGAAATCGCCAAAGCACTCCTTAGGTCGACCCTTGTCCTCATTTCCTGAATGCCCTTAATGCACAACCCTGGGGAACCCTGGGACCCTTGACACGCTGGTGGACGTGCCTGCCTTAGCTGCAATTCGAAGGCTCAGGGAATCGCAGCGAGGGTCCTTTTGGGGTGGTCCCTGGGGCCTCTAAGGATGCGGTGCCAAGTTCGGGATCCAGGCCGGGTATCATCCTGGCTTCAGACAAGTTAGACGTAGTGCTGGCAGGCATCCAGCAATACATCGAGGATGATGTAAGGGATCTCGGCATGCTGTAGATTCCTGATGGAGTCCCCCCTCCTCTTGGCGTCCGAGGATGATTGGGATAAACGTCGTAAGTCTGTCTCATACGTAAATGACCTTGCCGAAAGGGGGTGTTGGTGAATAAAACGACTGGCCTGATCCGGGCAACCAAACTTTTGGTTGAGCAGGGATTCCGGGCGTGCTGTCTCAGGGGACAACCTCGAGAAAACCAGAGCGATGCTGTACTTTAGAAAACTCCTTTCCATAGCCCTTCGTGCGGGACGCTTTGGGCTCCAGCCTCCGAGGATCGATCGGAAGCCTTGGAATGTTCAGTCGAGGTCGTGCGTTTTCGAGAATGTCCGGGAACCATGATTCAGTACAACGGAAGAGTTGCTGCGGAGGTACATCTTGGATGCACGGGCTACCACTCGACCAGGTGCTACACATCTGTCGACTGCGATACCTAGCTCGCCTCGTCCTCCGCGCCGCTTCCTTCCAGAGATTTACTATTGATGTTGAATGCAGCCAAGGGCCGGTGGTTAATGTTTCTTCGTGGTAGCTGCGAATCGACTGCACGTTTTTGGTAGGTGCGGCGAAGCTTCCAGAAAACCGCAAGATGCTTGAGGATTAAATTCGCTTTGCTGTAAAACCGACTTCCATGAGTACACTGCCCTGGTGAACCTGGTGGGCTGCAGGGCTAAGAGAAATCCAGGACCCAACTGCGGAGAAAGGAATATGTTAAGAACACCCATTTGCCCCCCCCACTTCACCCTTGCTTCCATTTCTAAGAAGGTTTTGTGTGTATGCGCAGCGGACATGGCTCAAGAACCGAGAAGGTGATGCGGGTTCACATTGCCACAAAGCACAACACTGGCTGCACACCGTACGACCTGGCGGTTGTATGATTTCGAACATCTTGTCAGACTTGCGAAACACCGAGCCTATTCTAAGATAATTATGCTTACGGGAGTGATCTTGTAGACAAACTAAGCCGACGGTGGAGAAGAGGAACGCTGCCAGATCGGAGGCCAAGGTTGCGCTCAGTGGCAACAGGAAGAAAGGACTCTCTGAGGCGTTTGCCCGCACATCTCCTGTGCGTGTGTGTGGTCCTCCTCGCTGGTGGTGGCCGCCTCCGCCTCGCCGCCGACGAAACAGTGTGTGGTCCTCCTGTTGCTCCCAAGTGGCTTGAAGATACCCCGCCCATGGTTGTTCTCTCCTCTTTGGCTCTTGCTGACGCCCCGTCTGGGGCTCTGCCACTGCGTTTGCCTCTTAGTTCCACCGTGCTGTCCAACAGCATTATTATGGTGCTCGGCGACCTGGACATTGCTTGTCTCAGTTACCCAAACAATTTATCATGAGTTTGGGAAACCCACTGTTTGCGGTCGAGATTGTCAGAATTTGCACTGGCTCGATCCTCGACTGGAGGACTGATGACGATGGCAGCAATGCACGGATTGATACTGTGTTGATGGCTCCTGCTTTGGAGTCTCTGTGACCCGCCCATTTCCACGGAACCTAGGGACATGCTCGATCTCCCGAGGATTAAGTTGGCAACACAACGCTGTGTGAAGTTGCGTTCAACCACGTTAGAACGGATTACGTTCATCTTCTTGGTGTTGCTGTCATGCTTCGTGTGTGCTGGCAATTGGGCATCCTCACCAATAGGGGTCATCACTTTCCCTCCTTGGCGGGACGTCTCGGGATGAGTTTTCCTGTGCATCGCTCTGCCTCTCCCGAAAGATGTGGCCGTGGCCCAGGCTTCCTCTGAAGGAGATGCCGTAGCGCTTCCGCCTCTCAAGTTCATGCGTGCACATGACCAGGGGCTGCAGGAGCGCAGACGGCCATGCGACCAGTGATAGCGGAGAACCTTGTGAAAGGAAGCGGTTTTTCTGCGCTAGGTTCAGAACTGCTGCTGCTGAGGCTTTGTTTCGGCTTTGTCTCTCTGGCATCCGACCGTGTGAACGTGGATGCTCGGACGGATGACGCCACACAGACGTCGCCGCCTTAGGCGCTCTATGATACCTGTTGACCCGCAGGCCTGGGGCTCGAGAGGGCTGGTGAAATGCAAAACGAGCCGACCTTCTGATTTCTCGGTTGCGCACTCTCTCCTGTGCTGCTGCACTGCTCCCCAACTTGTCACGCTTACTGAGTAGCTTGGGTCCCACTGATGACCGTGACCCTGATCGAGCGATCGAACGAGGAGGAGACCAGCGTAGGAGGTCTGCCTGGTAACGGCGACGGCTATGGCAGCAGGCCGGCCGACGCGCCTGGACGAAGGGGAGGGAGGCATGGGCGGGCCCCCAGTGTCAAAACTGTAGAACGGCCGAGGAGTAGGAGGAAGAGGAGGAGGTTCGTTTGTTTGGTCCACGCCCCAGCGTCTCCAAAAGCCTGCCGCATGTGAGCGGGCGCCAGCGCGCCACAACCGAGGGAGGCGGCGCGGCTGGCAGCCTCAGCCCTGTGAGCTAAGCTGCAAGTCAAGTGTTGAAGCACTGCGTTCGACTAGTTTCGACAATTATACTCTACCATTGCTTACGCTTGTGTGGGCGCCTGATCTTTTTCGAAGGGCCTCCCGACCATAGCGTGCAGCGCGAAAAGGCGGGCGGTACGAGCCAGGCCCCCGACAGAGCCTTCAGTCGACTTGTGCCGCGTGCAAGTAAGCAAAACAGGGCCGTCCGAGCAATCCAACGCTGTAGTCCACTGGCCCAAAGCGTCAAGCCTGGAAGCATGCACATTGAAAACCTGCGTGCAACAGCCAGCAGGAGGGCGTGCATATCACCGCTTCCCCCTGGGACACACCGCACACCTCCTCTCCTCGATCGCGACTCCGAACGATGGCCCTCTGGGGGCACACAAACCTCAGATGGAACCCTCTCGGTTCCATCGGGGTCCAGGCTTGGATACACATGCAACAACTTGACCGCGAGCCGCAAAGCGGTTCGCGCACGAGAGGCACACTGATTCACCTCCTCAAGCTGAACTGGTCAGCTGAGGCGGAGAGAAGCGAAGATGTGTGTCGATCTGACTAGTGTGGATGACGTTGCACCCTCGGGTCGATAAGGACCCAGCGTCCATTAAGGAAAGAAGGTACGACGTGTTACCAGACACGTTCTGGCAACTACTCACGCCACCATCGGCATGACGATTGCCGACGCGGCACGACCTCTCGTGAGAGCCGCTCCCAGCCACATCAAGATCTCGATGGGCGACGGCCTTGGCTCAAGAAGGCGCGTGAGTACACATGCGTGGGAGAGAATTGGTCTGCGTTTGATTATTTTGCTACAATAGGACAATCATACTCGACCTGGGACGATGCGGGGTCCCGTGACAGAAAGCTGGCCCAGGTAGATCAATTGAACTCAATTCACTGGGGGATCTGGGGATAGGGGCCTAAAACAGGGACCCGAAACTGCGGCACCGACCCTTCAGCCAGGTCAAACACGCACGCAAATGCAGCTGACCGCTCTAGAGAGCTTGCGAACCACATGACGGGACCATGACCCATCAGCGACAACAACAACAACAACATCAACAACAACAACAACAACAACAACAACAACAGCAACAGCAACAGCAACAACAACAACAACAACAACAACAACAACAACAATTACTAGCACGTGGGGACACTCCGTTCTCACCAGTGCCAGGGTTTTCATAGGAGGCGGGCAATACCCCCACTTTGTGGGGGGGCCGGTTCAAGCTCTACCAAATTTCCAAACGACTCTTCGTCACCACCCACACCCAACAACAACGCCCCTGCGCCCAACGCCCAACCCGCCTCCATTAAGAAAGGCCACGGTATACTTGTGCCACACAAGAACAGGACCATCGTCTGCTTCCGCGAAAAGACCAGGGGACGCGTCGGCGGAATGCCCAACGGCTCAATAATGAAAAACGAAGTGGTCATCGCACGAGGTCGGTTGCCGTAGCTTCAAGCGCGGAGTCGACCATACAAGCTGATTTTCTCATAACGTGGACCCCTGAAAGTCTGGACCCCTTCCTGGGGACCCTTTTCCGTCTCTGCAGGCCCCGAGGTCCGGAAAGGGCCCCTGGAGAACAGCGAAAACACATCCCGTCGCGATGTGTTCACAACGTGAGGGGGTCTGGGAAGGCTGCGGCCCGAGGCGCGGGCAAGTCGGGCCGCGCCGCGTAGAACTCGGCCAGCGTCTGGTCACGCGACTCGCCCGAGGGACTCCTCGCGGCCCTCATGTCGATGGGCGCGAAGAGGACGCCGCCGCGGACGATGACCCACGGCCTCGGCCCGACACGATCGTCGTCGTCGTGGTACCATCCAGGAGCGGCGAGCGTATCCACGTCCGCGCCCTCGCGGGCTAGCTCCTGGGGCGCGATCCCGCGGATGCGCGGTCGCACGGAGACGCTCCGCGCGGGGCATCCGCAAAGCAGCGCCCCGTGCCCGCGGGGTCGCGGCCCGAGGGCTCGACCCGCGGGGCCGCGGACAACTACGGATGTCGTTCGCCCGCGACCGTGGTGCCGTGAGGAAAACCAAATCGACGAGCGAAGGGGGATTTTTGCCGCGGCGAGCCTCGGCCGCGAACAAGGTCCCCAGACCTGGATCCGAGGGGCGGCCCGGAATACGCGGAGCCCCTCTTGAACAAAACCACAGTGGCCCCTCCTTCGACGTCCTGGCTGCTGGAAGGAAGCGCGATCGGTAAAGTGTGAGGGCCGCGTCCTTTTCATGCCTCATGAAAGGCAGCTAAATGCCGCTAGAGGCCACTAGAGGCTGCTAAAAGGCGACTGAAGGCCACTACAGGCCGCTAATAACACACTAAAGGCCGCTAAAGGCCACTGAAGGCTACAAAATTCTACTAAACAGATGCGGCATACGCTAGAATGATCTTCCCAAAAATCGTACCGAGCGCCTCTCTTACAGGGGGGATGCTCCGGGAGGTGCCAGGAGGACCTCCTGGGGCCTCGGGAAGACCCCTGGAGGGCTCCCGGGGACCTCCTGGGAGGCCTCCTGCTTCAGCCATCCCCAGGAGCCCGCGAGAGGCAAGATCAATCAGTTGGCATCGATTCGAAAAATTAGATCGGATCCGAATATGCTCTGGGCCGGGCCGCATCGGCGCAGAATCCAGATCGAAGCGGACCGGCCGCGCCAAGATGCACGACAGCACCACGCAAGCATCGGGCCACATCGGATCGCTGGAATGGCGGAATCGCGCCGGATCGGGCAGGCTAGAATCAATATCGAATCGTACCGATCGGATCGGAATGCACCCTGAAAGAGTCCTGGAGGAAAGGGGTCTTGGAATTTATTCGCCGCTTGCGGGCCCCTCTGACGCCATCCACGGTCCGCGGGGCTGTCGAACAACCGCCAGTATGAAGGCCTCGGGGTCTGGTTATGACCCGCATTGCGCGGCCCTGTGGAGGCCCCCCAGATCGGGATCCGAATAGATGGGGTGCCAGATTTTTTCAGCTGGCGCTGCTTGATTGGCGCCTGTTTCTGGCCTCGGGACCACCAAACGTTGACCAAGGATGGAAAACTGTCGCCAGGGAATGGTTCGGGACCCATGGGGCTGCGCATTGGAACAATCATACCGTCGGATGTCTAGGGTTTAGGACAGCACTGATCGGCTCCCATGGAGCCCCACAAATGGGATCCGAGTGGATGAGTGGCTGGGGCCGGAGGATCGCGCCGACGTCGGCGTCGAGAAAATCGGGCTTCAGATCGGGCCGCATCACCGATGCATCGGCCATGCGGCGCGAACCTCTGGTCCCACCTACTCGGACCCCACTGGGGGGACCTGAATTCTCAGGCGCATCAAAAAGAAACCGGCGTGCTAGCAGGTGCCCCGCGGAAACGCCCTTCCCCCTGAAAAGCCCCAAGGACAAACAGAAACTCTGGGCCACCTTAGGACATTCAGGGGTCGCCTGTCACCCGATCTTGTCGTTTTTCTGGGCCCACCCTCGAGCACCGCGGCATGCAGAACCAAGCCCCAGCAGCCGTCACCTCTGCTGCAGTCACGCAGCGAACAGGACAGCTAGCGTGCTGAGGCGGAGGAGGGAGGACAGGGGTACGGGCCCCAATATCCAATCGCAGGCAGACTCTGTCTGCTAGGTCCTGCTCTGGGCTAGGTCCGCGGCTCTGTGCGCTGGACCACCGCCGCCACGGACCGCTGCAGCGGCTGCAGCCACTTGGCGCGCTTGGCCCAGGGCAGCCCGTACACGTAGAACCGCAGGGTGGCGGCGATGCCCCTCGCAAGGGGGTGGCTTCTCGGGGGGAGGGCAGGAAGCAGCAGCAGGACCCGCAGCAGCAGGGGCAGGAGCAGGATCTATAAGGTCGGGCACCTTTGTATTTTTGTGGCTCTTCGGGCGGCGGCCAACGATGACTAACGATAAATAGCAAAGCCTGGAAGACAGCAAGGCTGTGTGGAACGGTCGGGAACTCTTTTTACAATGACAGCAACGAAGACGCAACAACAGAGGGCCCCTCACACGCGACACTGGGGCGCAACAGTCCCCAAAACCTCAGCGACAACGTCTAATGCGCACTATTGTACGAGTCCGGTAGACTTTTGCTTAGCGTGTCACGGCGGCGGCCCCGGCGACACGCTACGCCGAGCAAGATGATGGCTTGTTGTTTCGTTCCTCGGGGCGGCAGGTTGGGAAAAGCTCGGAGCGCTGATGCCTGGGGACAAGCACGTGGTTAGCGTGTACCGCCGAAGCGTGGTGGGCCAGAATTGACGACGCGACATGCTGAGCAAGCGTTTCTGACCGTAGGAGGGGGGATGGCTCAGGGGGGACGCATTGACCTGGAATCGGCGACACCCCGCGGATAGATCGGCGATAGGCCCTCGGTAGCGACACCGCACGCTGCAATGAATGGTCGATTTGGGGTCGATGCTCCCCCCCCTGGCTGGGCCAGTCCTCCCTGTCGTTGCCAATGGTAGTCGTCGCCCGACAAAATTCCGCACAAGTTAGCTGCACACAGGGAGTGACCCGAGGCAAGAGGCAAGAGCGACCTCTGGTGCGTGGTCTGCTGACCGATCGCTGTGTGCGACGCGACAGTAGCAGCCTGCGTGTTCGGTCTTGTCCCCCCCCTCGCGCCCCCTGGAAGGCACCAAAGGTCACTCCAGCGAAGGGTCGCTCTTATCGGGTGCTCCGAAGATGCGTGCCAGGAAGAGGGGGCTTAGCGCATCATGCCCTGGGCCACGTGCGCGGACGAGTGGAGGGCCAGGGGACGGGTTTAAAGAAAACAGAAGACACCATAAAAAGGAGCCAATGAAATCGAAGATGCGTCATTGCCACGGTCATGATATCCACACACCCATGGTCCTCGACTCTATCCCTCTCTTGGGCGCCCCCGACCTTCACCCCTCCTGTGGCACGCCCGGCTCTCCGCGCCGCGCCTGGCCCCCTCCGACAACAGAGACGTCGACGTCGTCATCGTCGTCACCGTCGTCATCGTCGTCGTTGTCGTCGTCGTTGCCAGCACGATCCGTCACCGCACAGATTGGGGACCCTGGAGGCCCCGGTCGCCCGAGATGTGCTCGGAGAACGGTCCGGACCCCAACACCGTGCGGTCATCCCGAATCGCCACTGACTCACCACGCGGTGTCGTCACCGCTTTGGGGCCCCCGAGCCGTGATCGCCGGGTGGCGGCACTCCACGGCGCCTGGCCAGACCACTCGCGGTGCAGTCCTGGCCAAAGCGCGCCGCGCGGAGCGCCTGGGGTGCGGGAGCCCGATGCCACATGGGGCACCCCGGGAGCTGCGTGCGGCGGACACGCAGAGCCCCCAACCACTGCCAGTGGGACCTACTGCGCGGCAACGAAGCGACCAACACCGAGCCCTGACATACGCCGATCTGCTTCTTTCGATCCGCGGCACCAAAAGTCCCAACCCATTCCCTGGGGGTAGTTTGTCGCCCCAGAATCCATGTTTGATCATCCTGGGGCCCGATAGCGAGCCTGGGGGCCGAAATGAAGGAGAAACTCCCGGAGTTAACGAATTCGATATTCGGAGACCTGGGAACAACTACATAATTGCTCGTCGCCACATCCCTCTGGCGGCCTCTGGCGCATGCGCTCGCCGTTCTCCGGGTACACGCCGTGGCCACGGACCTCGAAGTGTCCGCCCCTCCCTCCGAATCCCTCCGTCAGCCGCCTCCCTTTTGACTGCAACGGTGCTCCCTCTGCTCTCCCTGCGTTCTCCCTCGGTCCCCCCGATCTCGCTCGCCCGTCCCCTCCGAACATCCGTCTGTACCTCGATCCGTCTGTCCCTCTCTCCCTCTGTACCTTTCTCCCCCTGTCCCTCTCTCGCGGTGCCTCCCTCCCTCTCTCGTTCTTTGGTTGTTTTTTTTTGTTTCTCTCTCTCTCTCTCTCTCTCTCTCTCTCCCTGTCTTTCTCTTTCTCGTTCTCTTTCTCTGTCTCTTTTCTGTTCTCCCTAATTGCACATATCTATGTATACATATATATATATACATATATAAATAAATAAATAAATATCTATCAGAGTGAGGGGGCCGAACGGTCATTCATTGTCCCTGGGCGCGTGGCTGAATAAGAAATTCGTGGTGAGAATTCTGCTTGTTGCGTTGTTGTTGTTGTTGTTGTTGCTGTTGTTGTTGCTTGTTGTCGTCGTTCCACCCGCGACCCACCCCGCGACCCACCCCGCGACCCATCCGCGACCCATCTGCGACCCATCCGCGACCCATCTGCGACCCACGACCCAGCCCGCGACCCACCCGCGACCCATCCGCGACCCATCCGCGATCCATCTGCGACCCACCCGCGACCCAGCCCGCGATCGACCTGTGACCCACCCCGCGAGCCACCCTCAAGGGAGGAAGAACAACCGGACCCGACAGTTGACGTTTACTGAAACGGCCCTGGGCATTGACTAAACAGCCCTGCCCTGTTCGATTCATTCCTTGTGCGTTTACTAAACGGCTTCGCTTGTCGGGGTGATTATTATGGGATGGATTTTCTGCCCTCTACACCCGCGACCCACCCGCGACCCACCCGCGACCCCACAGCTACCCACCCGCGACCCACCCGCGACGCATTTGCGACCCACCGGCGACCTACCCACATTGGTTTAATGAAAAAATCGGCGCCTGCAGCGGGCTCGTTGTATAGATTGTGAAACTTCGGCGCCTGCGGCGGGCTTCTCCAGAGTCTTGCAAACTGCCGACGTCCCCACCTCCCCCTCACTCTTATCCGCATCTGCGGGGTGCTATGTATTCATATGCGAACTGTGTGGCTATCTCATTGTGGTATCAGCATCGGTGGTTGGGGGGTGAGATCTAAGTGGGACGGAGAGCGGCCCCCAAGTCCCGACCCCTTCCCCAGGGCCGGCTTGTCGCCCCAGATCCAACTTTTAGTTTTTGGCGGTCCCGCGGCCCGATGACGGGCCCCAGGTGCCCGACTCGAAGCACAACGTTGGAAAACTCACATCTTCGGAGATCGGGCCCCCAAATCGAGAAAAACCGACGATTGAAAATTCGCATCGTCGGAGATCTAGGACCGGGGTCGGCGTTCACCCAGGTCAGCCGTAATGGGCCGCGACGCATCGACGCTATCGGCGTAGAGCAGATTGGGCTCCGCACAGAGCCGAATCGCCGATGCATCTGCGATTCGGCACGATCCTCCGACCTCATCTGCTTTGACTACTCCCCGTGAGGCCTAAGCTATCGGGCACAATATCGGCGATCAATAGGGTCGATGCGTCCCCCCCGAGCCTAACCGCGATAGGTCTTTAGACCCCCCAATAGTGGGAACTACTTATCGTTCCGACGCTCTTGTTGACGGACTGGGGTCCCACCAATTGTGGAAAAAAATGAATTATCCGCAGCACCCGCCGCACAACAACGATGGTGATGACGACTACGACGACGACGAGGAGGAGGAGAAGAAGGAGTACGTAGAGGCGGAACCGATTCCCCACCGAGAGAGAAACATGGGGGGGAATACGAAACGAAAGACCTCCCTCGGTCATCCCCCAGTCGCGTTGCCCCCGGCGTCCGCCACAGGGGACTCGCCGAATCCCGTCAACGCCCACCCCCGCTGCGTGCGCCCCAGGGCCCCGCTCGGAGACGCAGAGCTCCGACGCTGTGACTGTTCCGCGACGTGGGCACCCGGAAGCCGCGACCACTCTCACCGTCGGCGGCGCGCAGACGGGGGCAGGGCGAGGGGGCGAGGCTTCTCGGAAGGAGTCTGCTTTTGACAAGCCTTCTCAGAAGCAGCCTCCTTTTGACAAGCAGCCTCCTTTTGACAAGCCTTCCCCACTCAGAAGCCTCCTTTTGACAAGCAGCCTCCTTTTGACAAGCAGCCTCCTTTTGACAGGCCAGCGCCTTCTGAGGAGCAGCCTCCTTTTGACAAGCCTTCCCCACTACCCCATACCCCCCCTCTGCGCGTGGCCGACATCGGCTACATGCAGAGAGTGACCCTACAGGCATGCCTTTTTTGTGCGCGGGTTGAGGGGCCGCAAGGGAGGCCAAATCCAGGCGTGCAGGCCACTGCTGGGGGACCCCTGTGGGCCCGCAGGGCCACTCGGGCGAGAGGTCACTCCTGCCCGTGGGCCGGACACGTGAAATGGGAAGGCGTGGCCCCTGGGAGCCGGCGAGGGCCCCCCAAAAGGCCGAACCTTGCCAGAGACCCTCTGTCGTGTTTGCGTCGCACCGCGAGGGGGTCTTGGGGGATCCAAAATCTACCGATACCGATGCTCCCTTCGGGGGGGACGGAAGGGTAGGATAGCAAAGGGTATGGCAGAGGATGAGCTCACGTAGCCCCCGTAGACCAGGATACGCTAGACAAGGACATCCAACATCACTTGACACCAATTTTTCCAGACGGCGGCACGAAAAAATACACTGCAACACTCCTAGGATAAACACTCCTAAAAGCATGCAAAACATCCCCAAACCCGGACAGAAATCGGAATCCTGCAGTGCAGCAGAAGAGAAACGCACTGGACGACTGACTCTGACTTTGCAGGGAGAAAAGGGTGTTGTGTTGTTTCCCCGAGTTGCCAATGTCCTGGTTATCCTGTGTCCGGGTCTTCGGGAGCTTGAGGTTTCCCTGGCGCCGGGAGGCGCCCATGTATCGAGGAATTGGCCGGGCCTTGGGGCCGAAACCAGCTGCACGCAGCAGATGTCGTACCCCTTTGTCCGTGTCCGACCATGCTGTCCGGCCAGATCCTCGGACCCCCTCCCAGGGTGCGACCTGACCAGAAGTTCGAGGACAATCCAGCTGTGGAGACCAGGACACGAGCAGCAGCATCCTTTCCGTTCCCTCCTCCGAGGCCTGGAGAAGTCGGGGGCGCCGGCGACGATAAGGCCGCGGCGAGCAAGAAACCGCACTGCTCACTGATCAGCTTGACGATGCGCTCGGCCGTCGCCCGGCAGTCCGGGTCGAGACGGTCGCAGGCCACGGGAGACGCGGGCGCACTGCCTTAGTGGCCGCTGGCCACCGAGAGGCCTCAAGCGAAGGTGTACAGTCGGTGAAACTTCGCACGTGCGTTAACGCCGACGTGTTTGTCCACCGAAGCCTTTCAATTACGACGCAGGCGGCGCAACCTGAGGAAGCATTTAAGAACCCTCCCTGTGCTATCGTTAACACCGAAACGATAATGAACAATTCGCGGGGGCAGATTTAGCGGAACTATATATAGAAATATATTTAGCACCGTGCCAACCCGCAACACATAAGTTCTCGACGCGAACATCCCAGATGTACATATCCTACTGATGGCATGCTTCGGTAAAAAAAATTGTCCTTTTCAATATCTGAATGTCTGCGAATCCATGTGGAAGACGAAGCCGAGAGAGACGCCGACGACCACGACGACTTTACCTAGGCGTTTCCTCCTTCTTTCCTCCTCCTCCTCCTCTTCCTCATTGTCCTCCTCCTTTTTCTCCATCCTTTCTCTGAACACTTGTCAGGAGAATCCATCCGTGAAGACGAGAATGCCAAAACAACTCGAACAATGCATGCCAAGGAAGCCCGAACAATACAAAAACATAGGCAAACCTAGGGCAGCGAAGCTCGAGTCAGGAGCCTAGAACTTCGATCCTCTGGCTTCGGCCAACCGAGTTGCCCGCTCGGTGGCGTGAGCCCTCTTACTCTTTCCACATCCGTCCTCCTCATCCTGCCATTCCTCCCTCCTCCTCCACAATCTCCTCCTATGCCTGCTCCTTTCTCTTCGCCACCCCTCTCCAGTTACGAATTCCCCTTCACCACCTCCTACTCCGGCTCCACCTCCCCCACTTCCTCTCCCAATCTGAGCCCGGAGGGATGCTCGAGCCAGCGCTCCGCCTGAGAACTCCTTGCGACTTGCTTTGGGCGCAGACGGGTCTTCCCACCGAAGCAGGCAAATCGGTTGAGACGTCCCAACAATCTGGGACCCTTGGGGTGCTGGCACTAGTGCCTCGCCCTATAGACCTATAGCCCTATGGCCCTGTAGCCCTATAGTTCCATTGCCCGATAGCCCATAGCCCCATGGCCCTATAGCCCAATAGCCCTATAGCCTTATAGCCCTATACCTCTAGATCCCTATAGCCCTATAGCCCTGTGGCCTTATAGCCTTATAGCCCTGAGCCCCATAACCTCGTAGCCTTATAGACTTATAGCCCTAGGGCCCTAGAGCCCTAGAGCTCTATAGCCCTATAACCCTATAGTCCTACAACCCTATATCCCTATAGCCATACAGCCCTAGAGCCCGATAGCCCAATAGCCCTATAACTCCATCTTACTATAGTCCTATAACCCTATAGCCCAGAAGCCTAACAGCCCTATAACCCTATAGCTCTAGATCCCTATAGCCATATAGCCCTATAGCCTTATAGCCCTATAGCCCTATAGCCATATAGCCCTATAGCTCTATCTGCCATTAGCCCTACACCCCTATAGCCCCATAGCCTTATAGCCCAATATCCCTGTAGCCCTATTGTCCTATAGCCCTATAGCCACGTAGCCCTATAGACTCATATCCCTATGACCCTAGGGCCCCATAGCCCCGGATCCCCATCGCCCAATAGCCCTACAGCCCTATAGCCCTCCCTATTGTCCTATCGCCCTGTAGCCCTATATCCCTATAGACGTATAGCCCTATGGCCCTGTAGCCCTATAGTTCCATTGCCCTATAGCCCCATAGCCCCACGACCCTATAGCCTAATAGCCCTAACCAAAACTTTGATTGGGGCTTGTCTCCGGTACCATTCATACTTATGGTGGACGGTGGGGCAGAATCATATGTGACTTGAACCGATAAAGCCAGGGGGGGATCCTAATTCGTCTAGGAAGGAGAATCGATGTGAGGCAACATATGCGGTGCAATATATGTGGTGTAGCACAAGTACTGCAACCTACGTGGTGCAGTATGTGTGGTGCGATCTATGTGGTGCAATTAATTTCTGTTCGCAATGAGTTGTCCACTCCACTGCTCGCGCAAACATCCCACCCACCCACCCGCAACTTGGTTTGCAAAATCTCTTAAGACCGTGACGGTGGGTACAAAATGGCACTTGGCAACGACAGCGACGCCGACGACGACAGCGACAACGACGATGACGACGACGCCGACAACGAGTACGACGACACCGACGACGTCTCCAACGACGATGACGACGCCGATAACGACGACGCCGACGACGACACCGATGACGACGACGACGACGACAACACCGACGCCGACGACGACGACGATGACAACGACGACGACGATGACGACGCCGACGACGACGATAACGACGACACCGACGACGACGACGACGACGTCAACGACGACGACGACGACGACGGCGGCGACGACGACGACGCCGACGTCGACGACGACGAAGACGACAACGACAACGACGCCGACGCCGACGACGAAGACGACGACGACGTCGCCAACGAAGACAACGAGGAAGGAGGGCGGACGACGACGTCGCCAACGAAGACAACGACGTGAGAGGAGGGAGGACGGCGACGACGCGAACGACGAAGAAGGAGGAAGGACGGCGACGCCGACGACGGCAACGACGAGGGAGGAGGGAAGACGACGACGACGACAACGACGACGACGGCGACGAAATAGAAGGACGACGACGAGACGCCGACGACGGACGACGACGACGACGAGGGAGGAGGAGGAAGGACGACCACGGCGACAACGACGACGGAAACGACCACGACGCCAAAGAGGACGACGACGACGAACACGAGGAAAGACAGAGGACGACGTAGGCGACGACGACGACGACGACAACGACGCGGGAGGAGAGAGGACGGCGACGACGACGACGACGACGACGCAAGAGCGAGCGCGCACGCTTTTGTTGAAAATCCGTGTTGCGAAACCTTGTGTTTTGTAGGTTTTGTAGACACACGATTTTGAAATCCTTCCGAAACCGATGGGTTTTCAAGGTTTTCGGCATATGCGCGCGACGACGCGCGCGTCTGCACTTCGTCCCCTTTTTTGCAGGGGATTCTCGCGACGGCACACGCGCAAGGGCGTTCGACAGATTTCGACATGAGCGCGCGCGAAGCCCGTTTGGTAGCATGTTTTGAACATCTTTAGAAAACCTATGATTTTCTCAAGAGTTCGCAAGAGTTTTCGCGGAAGCATTTTTAGCAACTCTGTGTTGCGAAACCCTGTGTTGTTGTATGTTTTTTGGAAACTCGATTGCGAAATCCTTCCGGCACCGAAGGTTTTTGAAGGATTTCGGCATGCGCGCGCGACGACGCGCGCATGGCACTTGGCAACAACAGCGACGCCGACAACGACAGCGACATCGACGATGACGACGCCGCCGACAACGACTACGGCGACACCGACGACGTCTCCAACGACTTCGACGACGCCGACAACGACGACGACGACGACGACGACACCGACGACGACGACGACACCGACGCCGACGACGACGACGATGACAACGACGACGACGATGACGACGCCGACGACGACGATAACGATGACACCGACGACGACGACGACGTCAACGACGCCGACGACGACGACGACGACGGCGGCGACGACGACGACGCCGACGTCGACGACGACGAAGACGACAACGACGCCGACGCCGACGACGACGACGACGACGACGACGTCGCCAACGAAGACAACGAGGAAGGGAGGACGACGACGGCGACAACGACGACAACGACGAGGGAGGAGGGAGGACGGCGACGACGCGAACGACGAAGAAGGAGGAAGGACGGCGACTCCGACGACGGCAACGACGAGGGAGGAGGGAAGACGACGACGACGACGACGACAACGACGACGACGACGACGGCGACGAAATAGAAGGACGACGACGAGACGCCGACGACGGACGACGACGACGACGACGAGGGAGGAGGAGGAAGGACAACCACGGCGACAACGACGACGGAAACGACCACGACGCCAAAGAGGACGACGACGACGAACACGAGGAAAGACAGAGGACGACGTGGGCGACGACGACGACGACGACAACGACCCGGGAGGAGTGAGGACGGCGACGACGACGACGACGACGACGCAAGAGCGCGCGCGCACGCTTTTGTTGAAAATCCGTGTTGCGAAACCTTGTGTTTTTGTATGTTTTTTGGACATACGAGTTTGAAATCCTTCCGAAACCGATGGGTTCTCAAGGTTTTCGGCATACGCGCGCGACGACGCGCGCGTCTGCACTTCGTCCCATCTTTTGCCGGGGATTCTCGCGACGGCACACGCGCAAGGGCGTTCGACAGATTTCGACATGCGCGCGCGCGAAGCCCGTTAGCATGTTGTGAAAATCTTGAAAAAACTACGGTTTTCTTAAGATTTCGCAAGAGCTCGCGCGGAAGCTTTTTCAGCAAATCAGTGTTGCGAAACCATGTGTTTTGTGTATGTTTTTTGGAAACTCGATTGCGAATTCCTTCCCGCACCGAAGGTTTGTGAAGGATTTCGGCATGCGCGCGCGACGACGCGCGCGTGTGCACTTCGTCCAATTTTTTGCAGGGGATTCGTGAAAAAGTGCTATGTTAGAACAAAAAATGTCACCGCATAGTGTTTTTTTTTGCAAAGGAACCTCAAGGGGGGAACCCGGTTTGGCTGGGATGATATGATTTCATATTTAGGATGGACGGGTGTGCATAATATATATATATATATATATATACATATATATATGACATCATAATATCCCAGGGGGTACCTATAAGTCCGGGGGGGGAGGGAGGTAGAGCCTATTAATCTTTCAGAAAGGAGAATCTGTGTAGTGCAATCTCTGCGGTGCAGGGGCGGCTGTGCAACCTGTGTTGTGCAGTCAAGCAATGCAAAACAATACAGGGCAATGCGAATCCATGTCAGGCAACGCAAAGCAGCACAAAGCAATTCAAAACAATGGACGTCAAAACAAATGCCAAGCAAAGCGCAGCAACAACAAGCAACGACAATAAATGCAAAGCAACGCAAAGCAATGCAAAACTGGCGGCGACGAGGGCGCGGGCGGCGACGAGGCGGCGACGGAGCGGCGACGGGCGGCGATGCGGCGGCGACGTCGACCACATAGCCGACAGACCGACGCGTAGGCCGAAACGACGGGCGGCGACGAGGCGGCGACGGCGACCACATCGCCGAGAGACCGACGCGCAGGCCCAAACGACGGGCGGCGACGAAGCGGCGACGGCGATTACATAGCCGAGAGACCGACGCGCAGGCCCAAACGACGGGCGGCGACGAGGCGACGATGGGGCGACGACGGCGACCACACAGCCGCCAGATCGACGCGCAGATCAGACGACGGGCGGCGACGGGGCGGCGACGGCGACCACATAGCCGCCAGACCCACGAGCAGGCTCAGATTCTTAGAAGAGAAGTAAAGACCCCTGAATGCAAGCACTGTTTGGGGAGTTCCGTTACGTCCTGTTCTGTTCTCAACGGACTGGCGTGACGTCGTGACGCCCGTCACGATTGGTACTTCACCTGTACTGTTATGTTCTGTCCTAGCCCCGCTATACTGCTACATTAAACTGCGTTGGGTCACGCTATGAAATGTTATGATCCTGCATCGTTTCCTCATTGTCTTCTACTACGTGCTGTCAGGGCCTTACGTTGGCGCTCATGTTGAGTTTGTTGGGACGCCGTCAATCAGTCGCTGCGGCATTCTTGGGTATTCGTTTCTGCTCTACTCGAAGACGGCGAATCTTATTATGCCCTGATGCGCTCAATGTTGTTATGTTCTCGACTGACCGGCGTGATGTCGTGACGCCTATCATCTTTTGATACGTCGCCAGTTCATTGATGCTGTTAGTTCGTTTCTTCAGTACTACTACATTATGTGTTATGTTCGAATAAGTGGTGTCATGGGACCGTTTCTGTTCTGGTACTATGGTCTTCTACGTTTTGATATGTCCGTTATGTCATGCTCCGATATGCTATGTTAGTTGCGACGCTCTTTCTATAGCATGCTACTACACTATTAGCGATTGCGCAATAATGTATTATGATCTGTTGCAGTGCACTACATGGCATCATGCTCTGACCTGGTATGTCACGGCCGCTTATCGTCTATGCTAACGCATGCAAGTTGATGATGTGTTGTTGGGCAGGGTATGCCGTGTCATGAGTATGTAATTTCTGCTCTCTTACATACTGAGATACTCTGCTGTCCTTTGCGGCCCACAACGGGATCCCCGCGGGATCCCTGATGGTCCCAGGGATCTCGCGGCCGCGGTATGCGGAGTGGGCGGGTCGGGAGGTCTGTTCTTAAAGTCTAACAGCCCGAACCTGTCGGGTCGGGAAACCTCGTCCTCGTGGGGGTCCCGACGCGATTCGGGGACGTACCGCGCGGTGACCTCGAAATCCCTGAATACCTCACCGCACAGCCCGTCACCACACGGTTTTGGGACCCTGGAGACCCAGTCGCCCGAGACTTCCTCGGAGAGCGACTCGGGTCCCGAAACCTTGCGGTCATCATTCCGAATCACCACTGACCCACCACCCCTGCATGTTTGGCTTCTGGGCCAGAACTCGGGTCTCCAGCGGCCATTCGGAACGATCCTGGCACCCCTGGGACGCTCTCGGCGAGGCGAAGCTGTTGGAACGCCCCTCGAGCCCCAAAAACCTCCGAAACCCTGAGCCCCAACTGACTCACCGCACGGTGTGGTCACTGCGCCGTCTGGGGACCCTCGATCGTCGTCAAGGATGCCGCCCCGCGGCCGTCGTCTGGGGGCGCGGCCCTGCTCGGAGCCGGGGCCATCGGAGTCGGCCGTGCTGGTCTCCCAGGCCGCGTGGTCCTTGCTGCGATGGCGGGATCCCTGCCTTTTCTGTCTGCTTCTGAAGGAGAGCACTACCTGCGAAGCACAGACGGAAATCACTTCGGTTTCTGTGGGGCAGAACACGCGGTGCAAGCTGTGCTGTGTGAGCTACGTGGTGTGAGCTACACATTGTGGGCTATGCTGTGCGAGCTATGTGGTGGAAGCGATAATGGGTAAGCTACCTAGCGTAAGCTATTTGGTGTCAGCTGTGTGGTGCAAGCTATGTTGTGTAATGTATGTGGTGGGCGCTTTTTTTCCCCCCTAGAATGATGAAGACTGCGGCTTCCCAACTGATGGGAAGAAGACTCCACCAAGCAGAAAATTCAGTGCATCCGCCCTCGGCTGCCGAGTCAGCCGAAACTTATGTCACGAAACTCGGCCCCTAAAAGCAAGTAACTGTCCCAGCCGCGTGGCCGATAGCCGCTGTCCTAGTCCCGCCCGACTGGAGTGGTCCAGTGCGTGCGCATGGACAATTGGGCCACGCATTCGGTGCGGCCGGTCACGAGACGACACCGCGACGCTTCCCTAGCGGCGCAATTGCACTCGCCACAGGCCTGCATTCAGTCGCAACCACGGACTACCAGCAAAGCGGGCAAGCGACACTGGCAAGCGGAGGCGCAAGTAAAACAGGATAGACAGGCAAGCAGGCAATGCGGATGCTGCGGATTACCCATACAGCGTCTACGCAAAAGGAAAAGCGAAAAATACAGAGCCACAACACGAGGAGAGGCCCGACCCCCCCAAAAAAGGGAGAAGAAAGAGAACGAGAAGGAAAATGACAGGTATTGAACAACCATCCGCGTCGAATGGTGTGATCGCTGGGCGACAGCCGCCGGCGAGCCAGTGCCAAAGCAGCACTGCGCAAACGAGACAGTCGTTTTGAACGAGACAGTCGTTTTGAAAGAGACTATGGCGTAGAAGCCGAGAGCGTGCACAGAACAGAAGGGAGGAGGGGGGAAGCAGGAGCAACGGCGGCGGCGGCGGCAGGGAGGCCGAAGAGGCCGAACGCTGGCCGACCCCAGCAGGGTCAGCCAGCGCACCGCAGGGGGGAAAGAGACGAGAATGGAGGACCTAGTACAGCATTACTCCATGCAAACTCCTAAATAAAGGATCGGCTCAGGCGACGGGTGCCAGCAGCGGACTCAGAATCGGACTCAGAATCGAGCACCCCCGAGCTGGTCGAGCTAAGAGTCGGCGAACTGGTCGGCGCAGGAGTCGGAGAGCTGGGCCGGCACCAGAGTCGGTGAGCTGGTCGGCACTGGAGTCGATGAGCTTGTCGGCACTGGAGACGGTGGGCTGGTCGGCGCGGGAGTCTGTGAGCTGGTCGGCGCGGCAGTCGGAGAGCTGAGTCGGCCCTGGAGTCGGTGAGCTGGTCGGCATTGGAGTCGATGAGCTGGTCGGTACCGGAGTCGGTGGACTGGTCGGTGCGGTAGTCTCTGAGCTGGTCGGTGCGGGAGTCGGCGAGCTGGTCGGTGCGGGGGAGTCGAAGTATATGCCAACATGCCACAATGACGCTAATGTCGAGGATAGGCCTGTGTACCCAAAAAAACGAGGATAGGCCGGTACACCCAAAATGACGATAATATCTAGGATAGGCCGGTGCACCCAAAATATTGTCGGTGAGGTGGTCGGCGCGGGAAACGGCGAGCCTGTCGGTGTGGGGGTCGGTGGGTTGGTCAGCGCAGGAGTCGGCGAACTGTGCTGTCTGGGACACGGCGAAGTGGTCGGTTGCTGTAAGTCTGCTGTGGGTTCGTTACTGGTGTAATTTGCGTCGAGTCGGAGCTGGTCGGCACGGGAGTCGGTGCTGGTTGGCGCGAGAGTCATCGATGATGGCCCTTCACCTGTCCCGTCGTCGGCCGCGAAGTCGGCGAACAGGACGGCGCTGGAGCGGATGAGCTGGACGCTGCGGGTCGGCGGGCTGGTCGTGGCGGGAGACGTTCCTGCGTCGTCTACGGGCGGCCAGCCAAGGCGCTGGCAAGTGCCTGCATTGCCCGGGCGTGCCCGCGAACTCCTTCGTGCGCACGCTGCAGTAGTAAATCGTCCAGTTGGCCGTGTGCGGGATGCCCGTGCCGCAACATGCCCGTGCCGCAACATGCCGTGGTGGGCGCTATGTTATGAACACGAAACAGTGCAAGCTGTGTGGTATAACCATGTTGTGTCAGCTATGTGCTGCGAGCTATGTGGTGTCAGCTATGCGTTGCAAGCTAGCTGGTGCAAGCCATATTGCGTAAGCTATGCGACGAAGCGCACGGGGCGCCCGCGAGGCTTCCACGAGCGGGCACGGGTGCCAACGCGGCACGCTCCTGGAAAACCCACCCAGCGCACTCGGCGCCCACGCGGCGCCCACGAGCTGGCACGGGCGCCCACGCGGCGAAACCTCGGGAAACCCACGCGGCGCACGAGGCGCCAGCGTGGCGAAGCCCCGGGAAACCGGTCCAGCTAGTAATCCCTGGGTGCGAGCACCGCTTCGGGAACAAACGAATCGGATGCGGACGTTCTTCTGCCCACCTTCTTGGAAGGGAGATGGGAGGAGGACAAGCTAGGCGCGCTCGCGCCACATCTGAAATCCGATGCCTCCCTCCCATCCCTTCCCACATCGCTATGTTTTTTCTCTATCCGCGGACGCGTATCATAGCCGACCTGCAACTCCCAAAACGACCCACTGGTGTCCTGCGCAATCGGAGAAGGGGAGCTGCGTAACCCCTAAGGGTCTTTAGAACCCCCCCCCAAACAATGGAAACTAATAATCTGTTCGACGCCAATATTGACGGACTGCGGCCCCACCTATATGTAACGGAAAATATATTTTCTCTCCGCGGCACTCGCCGCGCAACAACGACGACGACGACGACGACGACGACGACGACGACGACGACGACGACGACGACGACGACTGCGATGACGACTACGGCCTCGATACGACTACGGCTACGGCTACGACTACGACGACGAGTAAGGCTATAACTACAACTACGAGTACGAACACACATACGATTATGACAACAACTACTACTTATGCATCAGAAGCACTCTGACGGACAGACAGTAGGAAGAGCAGGAGGAAGAGGAGGGACGAGTTTTATTCCCCGCCGAGAGAAACAGGGGGAGAGCAAAACTAAGGACCCTTAGGAGGAGGAAGAGGAGGAGGAGGAGGTGGCGGGTGCGCAGGATAACGAGCAGGAGGTAAAGGAGGAGGAGGAAAACAAGAAGACCAAAAGGTACCGATACCGATACCGCTGCTCCCTGGACCTATCCAGGGGTGCGTTCTACCCAGGGTCTCGAAGCAAATCCAGCGGTGGCGACGAAAGCCTCCCGGGAGGCCCTAAAAGGGTAAAACGAGGGAAAGGTAACGGTGTGGGTACGCCTGCGGAAAGAGGAGGAGGTGGTCGGCTGCGGCCTCTGGGCGCTCCACCAGGAGAGGAAGGAAAAACCGCGCTCGTGAGCGCAGGCCGACCTTTTGGTTTCCCCAGTGGCTCCCATGCCAACGATGCCAGAGGAGGAGGAGGAGGAGGAGGAGGAGGAGGAGGAGGAGGAGGACGACGACGACAAGGAGAGCGGAGGCGAGCAGACGCGGAGAGGAGGGGGAGGAGGCGGAGGAGCGGTCCTCCAGGCTCGCCGTGCTGCCCGAGAGGCTGCCGCTCCGCTCCGCGCCGCGGCGGCTCCTCGGCTTCTTCGCGCAGGGGGTCCCGCGCCGGTGCCTCGGCGTGCCGTCCAGAGCTCGGGTCCTCCGTCCTCGCCCCTCGACGACGACGCCGCCGACGACGACGCCAACGCCGACGACGACGACGACGCCAACGCCGACGTCGCCAACGCCGACGACGACGACGCTGTGGAAGACGACGACGACGCCGACCACGATCATGACGACGACCTGGTCGACGACGACGACGACGACCACGACCACGACGACGTCGACGACCACGACGATGACGACGACGACGACCTCGATGACGACGACGACGCCGACGACAAGGACGACGTCCATCTTGCGAACATGTGATCTAGCAGGCTGCTTGGACCTGCATCTGTTTATCCATCCCCCTAGTTCCCGCCCACTGGATACATGAACCAACCCCCTTCTGAGGGGGTCTTCTCATACCAGCCCCTGGGAAGCATTCGGCAATGCGATCTATGTGCGCAGTGCGCTGGCATGGCCGTAATGCGAGCAAACGCGCCCGCAGGCAACTCACCAGCTTGAGCGAAGTGCCAGGACTTCTCGGTAGAGAGCGTCGTTCCTGCGTTGTGGGGCCGCCAGGGCGTCTCAGAGTAAACAATGAAAACATATCGACCGGGAGCCATTGTCGTCTTAGTCGGGCTTCTCAAAACCAAGACGTCTCGGGCGAGAGCGCCAATCCTGGGCGTGATAAGTAATGCATGGCCAAGGCGTCTCGACCCAAATTGTGAGGAGGTATCACGCAGGAGCCGTTGTCGTCGTGGTTTGGCCTCAAATCACATTGCTGACTTGCGAAGGCGTCTTGAGCGAGAGCACCGCTGCTGAGTTAGAGGCCCTCTCTTGCCAGGGTGCCTCGGAGTAAACTGTGAAGGAAATATCGAGCGGAAGCCGTCGTCGTCGCAGCTTGGTCTCAACAGCTTGGCCGAATGGCGAGGACGTCTCGAGCGAGAGCGTCGCTCCTGAGTTTGGGAGCCCTCTCTGTCCAGAGCGTCTCGTGGGTGAAGGAATATCGAGCAGGAGCCGTTGCCGTCGCAGTTTGGCCTCAAACAGCTTGGCTGAATCGCGAGGAGATTTCGAGCCGGAGCGCCATTCCTGAGTTTGAGGGCATCTGTCTCCAGGGCGTCGCGGAGTAAACTGCGAGGACATATCGAGCGGGAGCCGATACTGTCGTAGCTGGGCCTTGAGCAATCTGATTGGACTGCAAGGACGAGCCAGAGAGCCGTTGCTGAATTCGAGGGCCTCTCTGGCCACAGCGTCTTGGAGGAAATGACGAAATTATGTTGAGCGGAAGCCAATGCCGTGGAAGCCGGGCCATAAACAACCCGGATTTGGAGTGAGGCCCGCGTTCGAGCGGGAGCCTCGTTTCCGAGCATGTGGCCGGCGTCGAGGCGAGAGCGCCAAGAACCGTTTCTACAGATCAGCAAGAACTATGCTCTAGAAGTGAGGATTTGACGACCACGACGACGATGACGACGACGACGACGGCGACGACGACGACGACGACCACGACCTCAACGACGACGACGCCATCGCCGACATCGACGCCGACGACGCCTGGGAGGAGGAGGAGGAGGAGGAGGACGACGACGACGACCATGACGACGACGACGACGACCTCGGCGACGACCTGGATGACCACGTTGACGCCGACGACGATCTCGACGTCGTGGACGATTCCGACGGTGGGGCTGCCCGAGCCGCTGAGCGCCAGAAGAGGCCAACGAGGGCAGGACGCCGCCGACCAGGGGACGCCCCAACGCCGCCGTCGTCGAGGTCGCCATCGAGGTCGCTGTCGTCGTCGTCGTCGTCGTGGCGTCGTCGTCGTCGTCATCGTCATCGTCCTGGTCGTCGTCGGCGTCGCCAACGTCGTCGTCGTTTTCGGCGCCGGCCACAGCGTCGGCATGGGCGTCGAGGTCGCCGGGGTCGTCGTCGTCGTCGTCGCCGTAGTCGTCCACGGCGTCGTAGTCGTCGTCGTCGTCGTCGTCGTCGTCGTCGTCGTCGTCGTCGTCGTCGTCGTCGTCGTCGTCGTCGTCGTCGTCGTCGTCGTCGTCTGCGGCGGCGGCGGCGGCGGCGTCGGCATCGTCGTCGTATTGGCGTCGCAGTCGTCAGCGTCGTGGTCGTCGAGATCGTGCTCGTGGTCTTCGTCGTCGTCGTCGAAATCGTCGTCGTCGTCACCGTCGCCGTGGTCGTCTTGGGCGAAGTCGTCGTCGTCGACGGGGCTGGCGACGGCGTCGGCGTCGGCGTCGACAGCGTCGTCGCCGTCGTCGTCCACGGCATCGTGGTCGACGTCGTTTGCGGCGGCGGCAGCGTCGGCGTCGGCATCGTCGTCGTCGTCGGCGCCGTCGTCGGCGTCGTCGTCGAGATCGTGGTCGTCGTCGGCGTCGTTTTCGTCGTCCACGGCGTCGTCGTCGTCGTCGTCGTCGTCGTCGTCGTCTTGGTCGGTCGTCGTCGTCGTCGTCGTCGTCGTCGTCGTCGTCGTCGTCGTCGTCGAAGACGTCGTCGTCGTCATCGTTTTCGTTGTCGTCGTCCACAGCGTCGTCGTCTGCGGCGGCGGCGTTTGCGACGTCATCCGCGTCGTCCGCGTCGGCGTCGGCGTCGTCGTCGACGTCGTGGTCGTCGGTGTCGTCGTCGCCGTCGTCATCGCCGTCGTCGTGGTCGTCGTCGTCATCGTCGAAGTCGACGTCGTGGTCGGTGTCGTCGTCCACGGCGTCGTCGTCGATATCTGCGGCGGCGTCTGCGGCGGCGGCGTTGGCGTCGTCGTCGGTGTCGTCGTCGTCGTCGTCGTCGTCGTCGACGTTGGCGTCGTGGTCGTCGTCGTGGTTGCCGTCGTCGTCGTCGTCGACCAGGTCGTCGTCGTCATCGTAGTGGTCGTCGTCGTGGTCGTTTTCGTCGTCGTCGTCGACGGCGTCGTCGTCTGCGGCGGCGGCGTTGGCGTCGAGGTCGTCGTCGTCGTCGTCGGCGTCGTCGTCGTTGTCAGGGTCACAGTCGTAGTCGTCGTCGTCGTGTTCGTCGTCGTCGTCATCAACGGCCTAAAGGTCGTCGTCTGCGGAGGCGGCGTCGTCCTCGTCGTCGTCGTCGAGATCGTCGTTGTCGTCGTCACCGTCGTCGTGGTCGCCGTCGGCGTCGAAGTCGTCGTCGTCGTCGACGGGGCCGGCGACAGCGTCGGCGTCGGCGACAACGGCGTCGTCGCCGTCGTCGTCCACGGCATCGTCGTCGTTTGCGGCGGCGGCGTCGGCGTCGGCATCGGCGTCGTCGTCGGCGTCGTCGTCGTCGTCGAGGACGTCGTCGTTGTCGTCGTTTTCGTCGTCCACGGCGTCGTCGTCGTCTTGGTCGTCGTCGTCGTGGTCGTCGTCGTCGTCGAAGTCGTCGTCGTCGTTTTGATTGTCGTCGTCCACAGCGTCGTAGTCGACTGCGGCGGCGACGTTTGCGTCGTCGTCCGCGTCGTCGGCGTCGTCGTCGAGGTTGTGGTCGTCGATGTCGTCGTCGTCATCGCCGTCGTCGTGGTCGTCGTCGTCGAAGTCGACGTCGTCGTCAGTGTCGTCGTCCACGGCGTCGTCGTTGTCTGCGGCGGCGTCTGCGTCGTCGTTGTCGTCGTCGTCGTCGGCGTCGTGGTCGTCGTCGTGGTCGTCGCCGTCGTCGTCGACCAGGTCGTCGTCGTCATCGCCGTGGTCGTCGTCGTCGTCTCCGTTTTCGTCGTCGTCCACGGCGACGTCCTCGTCTGCGGCGGCGGCGTTAGCGTCGAGGTCGTCGTCGTCGTCGGCGTCGTGTTCGTCGTCGTCCACCGCGTCGTCGTGGTCTGCGGCGGCGGCGTTGGCGTCGAAGTCGTCGTCGTCGTCGACGGCGTCGTCGTCGTCGTCGTTGTCATCGTCGTAGTCGTCGTCGTCGTCGTCGTCGTCGACGTCGTCGTCGTCGTGGTCATCGTCGTAGTCGTCGTCGTCGTGTTCCTCGTCGTCGTCCACGGCCTCAAGGTCGTCGTCTGCGGGGGCGGCGTTGGCGTCGTCGTGGTCGTCGTCGTCGTCGAGATCGTTGTCGTCGTCGTCGTCGTCACCGTCGTCGTCGTCGTCGGCGTCGAAGTTGTCGTCGTCGACGGGGCCGGCGACGGCGTCGGCATCGTCGTCGTCGTCGGCGTCGTCGTCGTCGAGGTCGTTGTCGTCGTTGTCGTCGATTTCGTCGTCCACGGCGTCGTCTTGGTCGTGGTCGTCTTGGTCGTCGTCGTCGTCGTGGTCGTGGTCGTGGTCGTCGTCGAACTTGTCGTCGTCGTGGTCGTTTTCGTTGTCGTCCACAGCGTCGCGGTCTGCGGCGGCGGCATTTGCGTCGTCGTCCGCGTCGTCGGCGTCGTCGGCGTCGTCGTCGAGGTCGTGATCGTCGGTGTCTTCGTCGTCGTCGTCATCGCCGTCGTCGTAGTCGTCGTCGTCGTCGGTGTCGTCGTCCACGGCGTCGTCGTCTGCGGCGGCGTCTGCAGCGGCGGCGTTGGCGTCGTCGTCGACGTCGTCGTCGTTGTCGTCGTCGTGGTTGTCGTCATCGTCGTCGACCAGGTCGTAGTCGTCATCGTCGTGGTCGTCGTCGTCGTCGCCGTTTTCGTCGTCGTCGTCCACGGCGACGTCGTCGTCTGCGGCGGCGGTGTTGGCGTCGAGGTCGTCGTCGTCGTCGTTGGCGTCGTCGTCGTCGTGGTCATCGTCGTCGTCGTCGTCGTGCTCGTCGTCGTCGTCGTCCACGGCATCGTCGTCGTCTGCGGCGGCGGCGTTGGCGTCGAAGTCGTCGTCGTCGTCGGCGTCGTCGGCATCGTCGTCGTCGTCGACGTCGTCGTGGTCATCGTCGTAGTCGTCGTCGTCGTCGTGTTCGTCGTCGTCGTCGTCGTACAATGCCTCAAGGTCGTCGTCTGCGGCGGCGGCGCTGGCGTCGTCGTCGTGGTCATCGTGATGGTCATCGTCGACGAGATCGTCGTCGTCGTCGCCGTCGTCACCGTCGTCGTGGTCGTCGTCGGCGTCGAAGTCGCCGTCGTCGACAGGGCAAGCGACGGCGTCGGCGTCGGCGTCGACGGCGTCGTCGCCGTCGTCGTCCAGGGCATCGTCGTCGTCGTTTGCGGCGGCGGCGGCGTCGGCGTCGGCATCGTCTTTGTCGTCGGCGTCGTCGTCGAGGTCGTGGTCGTCGTTGTCGTCGTTTTCGTAGCTCACGACGTCGTCGTCGTCGTCTTGGTCGTCGTCGCCGTGGTCGCCGTCGTCGTCGGAGTCGTCGTCGACGTCGTCTTTTTCATTGTCTTTGTCGTCGTCCACAGTGTCGTCGCCGTCTGCGGAGGCGTTTGTGTCGTCGTCCGCGTCGTCGGCGTCGTCGTCGGCGTCGTCGTCGAGGTCCTGGTCGTCGGTGTCGTCGGTGTCGTCGTCGTCGTCGTCGTCGTCGTCATCGTCATCGCCGTCGTCGTGGTCGTCGTCGTCATCGTCGAAGTCGACGTCGTCGTCGGTGTCGTCGTCCACAGCGTCGTCGTCGTCTGCGGCGGCGGCTGCGGCGGCGGCGTTGGCGTCGTCGTCGGCGTCGTTGTTGTCGTCGTCGTAGGCGTCGTGGTCGTCGTCGTGGTTGTCGTCGTCGTCGTCGTCGTCCAGGTCGTCGTCGTCGTCATCGTCGTGGTCGTCGTCGTCGCCATTTTCATCGTCGTCGTCGTCAACGGCGTCGTCGTCGTCTGCGGCGGCGGCGTCGGCGTCGAGGTCGTCGTCGTCGCCGTCGTCGGCGTCGTCGTCGTCTTTGTCATCGTCGTAGTCGTCGTCGTCGTCGTCGTGTTCGTCGTCGTCGTCGTCGTCGTTCACGGCCTCAAGGTCGTCGTCTGCGGAGGCGGCGTTGGCGTCGTCGTCGTGGTCGTCATCGTGGTGGTGGTGGTCGTCGTCGTCGTCGTCGTCTTCGTCGGCGTCGGCATCGTCGTCGTCGGCGTCGTGGTAGGCCACTCGCCGGCCGAAAAGGGCGCCACGGCCACTGGCCCAACCGGTGGCAGCCGAGGCGGGGGCGGGGGCTGCCCGCGCTGGAGCACCTCGTGCGGGGCGCGCGTGATGGCATTGGATAAGGATCCAGGGGCTCAAACTGGTGGAATCCCAATCAGGGCTCGGCCATGGACATCAGCACCGCCCTCATCAGATCAGGACTTCTCCAGGGTCCGAAACCTCCTGGACACACTCTTCAGCGAACACCCCCATCGTGGGGGGAACGGCAGGGAAGACTGGCTGAGGGGGACAACATCGAGCTGGCATTGGCAACAAATCAGCAGTGGATCGGCGCTAGGCCCCAGATGGCGAAACCGCACGCTCCTGGGCGGGGTGTCCTGTCCTGACCTTGAGGGCCCCTAGCTGCGGCTTCGGCTTCAGCCTCAGCGGGGTGGCCTGTCGGGACCCCTGGGGCGATCCATGGGCGATCGGGGGCCGATGCGCTCCCCTCTGAGCCTGCCCCTTACAGAAAGGGGGTTGGTAAAGGGTGGGGCAGCGAATCAGCTCACACACCTGTTTTTCCCGGCGCGTCCGGCGCGGGACCGAAGTCAGCTGCACGCAGCAGATGTCGTAACCTCTCCTTTCCCTTTCCCCCCCTGGTCGTCCGATCCAAGCTTCATAGCGAGTGGGGAGGAAGGCCCCTTTTGGGTCCCAAGACACTGCGGTCATAGACCGAGCAGCGGACCCAGAAACCTCAAAGACATCACCGCACGGTTTTGGGGGGACCCTGGAGGCCCTGGTCGCCCAAGAATCCTTCGGAAAACGACCCAAGTTCCAAAACCGCGCGGCCAGCCCGAATCCCCTGAGACCTTGCCGTTGTATGGTTTCAATGATGGGCGTTTTCACCCAATTTCGGTACCGTGGGGCCCTCACGAATCGATCCAGCCCGATCGCGGACAGGTGTGGTCCAGGTCCCAGGTCTTGCTTTCCCACGATGCCGCATTTTTCCGCAACGACGTATCTCAGGGTCCCCACTGACACTGACTCACCACACGCCCTAGAGAACAGGCCCTGAGCCGAGAGCCTGCGAGCCACAGACGGCGTGCAGTGCCAGGAATGCGCCACCGAAGCGGGGCATGGAAGGACTCTGGACACGGCGCGTGCCACCAGTGCGGCGCGTCCCAAGAAAGACTTGGCACGACGACGACACGACGAGGCACGGCACTCGGCGTGGTCACCGGACCGTTTGTTGCGGGCCCCTGACCCAGACATGCGACGAGATTTTCCCTGGAGCTGGTTTTTCATCCCGAGCTGCTTTCTGACGGTCCCGCGGCCCGCCGATGAACCCCCGGAGGCCGAAAGCGGCCAAAAACCTCCCGTCGTGATGATTCAACGATGCGATCAAATTTTTTTGACATCCTACGTTGCGAAAAGTTGCAGCATCGCGAAGAATGACGACGAACGCCTCGGACCCCATCTTCCTGCGCGATTTCTCGAAACCGATCGATCTGTCAGGATCCCAGGGCCTGGGCGAAGTCGCCCGGTGCGGAAACAACTTTTCATGCCAGGATCTCAGCCCACAGTGTTCTATCACAACGTGGACCCCCAGAGGTCTGGATCCCTTCCCAGGGACCGGCTTTTCCTCCTGAATCTTGTTTGGCGGTCCGAGGCCCAGGAAGGGCCCCCGGAAGCCGAAAACTAACCAAAACTGTCCGTTGTGGTTTTTCTTGACGCGAGGGGGTCAAGGTGAGGGGAAGGACGGGGTCGCCGCGGGCACCGCGGCCGCGGGCGCCGGCAGCGGCGCCTCCGGGCGGCACGCGGGCGCCTCGGTTACGGCCGGGCTGCGGCCGCGCGACGTCGCGGTGGCCGCCACCGTCGCGGCCGCAACGCTGGCCGCAACGTCGGGATGCGGCGGCCGCAACATTAATTCACTTTGCCGCCGTCGGGGACGTCTGCCCCACGGCGGCTTGAAAGTTTATACCCCGACGTGCCACTGGCGGCGGAAAAGTCTATGTTATACCGCTATTCGTCCGCTAAGCGTTGCGGCCGCAACGTTGGGCGCGCAGCGCTGCGGCCGTCGCAACACTGCTGGCCATCGCGGCCGCAACGCTGGCCGCAACGTCGGGCGGCGCTGCTCGGCCGGCCGCCCGCCGCCAGCCCTCGTCGTCGACGCCGTCGCCGTCGCCGGCGGCCCTCGCCCTCGCCGCCGCCGTCGGTCGTCTGGCCGCTGTCGCAGCCCTCACTCGCGTCGTCGTCGTCGTCGTCGTCGTCGCCGTTCGCCGATCGCCCAGTCGGCGTCGCCGCCGGCGCATCGAAGATCGAAGATCGAGGATCGAGGACCAGAATCGAACAGAGACCCAAACTCGAGGACCGACGATCGGAAAGAGAAGGCCTCCGAGAGGAGAGGCGCCGGCCGGGAGGCAGCCGGAAGAGAACGGCGAGCTATAGTCGCTCCAGGCGATCCGGCCGAGTCCGTCGCCGAGGCCTCGCCCACGAAGGCGTTCCAGGGCGGGCGCGGGGAGGCCTCCGAAGGTCGAGGCCCAGCGAGAGCAGCGGCACGCGATAGCGCCAGCTCGGCGGGCGGCGGGCCGCGGCGCGCCCTCGAGGCGCGGGCGCGGGCGCGCACTGGCCCTGGAGCCCTCCGCGAGCGGGCGAGCGAGGCGGCGCCCGCAGGCGCCCGTGCGGCGCGCTCGCCGTCGAGGCGAGTCCCGGGGCGCGTCGTCGCCGAGGCGGCGCGCTTCGGGGGACTCCTGGCGGCGCGCGCACGAGGGGGTGGCGCGAGGGGAGGGGGGGCCCTCCAAGAGGGCGGGGGGGCGGCGTCTTGGAAGGCAAGGTCGTTCTCGCTTGTGGAAGCGCCCAGGGCCTTCTACGAAGGCTGTTTTTGAATAAAAAACGCACTCTCAGAAGGCCAAACTCCTCGCGCCCCCACGCCCCTTGTGCGCGCCGCCAAGTCTGGGATCGAGGGGTCGAGGGATCGAGGTTCCTGGGCGTGTCTGGAGGTTCTCGTCACCGCGGCTGGGTCCAGCTCGAGAAGCTGGCCAGGATGTAGCCCTGGGGGGATCTGCGGGATCGTGTTCGAAAGGATGTCGGTCGCCCTCCCTGCGTCGCGGGAAAAACGCGACGGCCCTGACATCCCTTCAGACCCTGGCGGGGTTTTCGAGCCCTGGGGCCCTCGCAGATCGATCCGACTCGAAAGGTGCTGCAGGAGAACAGGGTCCAGGGCCCTGGCCGTGCTGTCGCACGGTGTCGCAACTCGTGCGCGGCGTCGGCTCTCAGGGAAGGGCGGGCCGACCCAGGCCAGCGCCGACCGAAGGCCGCCAGGGCCGTGGCCCGAGCCGAGGCGAGCAACGAGGCAGCTCCCCCAGACCCAGGGCGGGGGAGGGCGGAGAAGGGGGGGGGGACTCCACCCTGCCCCCCGAACCTGAGTCAGCCTTCGAGGGTAGAGGGCCGAGTGCCGAGGATGCTGTTTTGCTGCAGGCTCTGGCAGGTCTGCCTGCATCGAGGGGGGGCTGGGGGGGGCCTGGCGCGGCCCGAAAAGAAAGCTGGACTTCGCGCAAGTCGGGACTCTCCGTTTCGGCCCGGCGCTGTTTGAAAAGGCGGCGGAGGGATGTGGGGCAGGGGGCGGAAATGCTGTGAGAGCAACCTGGCCTGAATCCAGAGTACGAAGCCCTCGATGGCCCAGGAGGTCGCCCTGAGGTCGCCCCTGGGGCCCTCCCAAAGCCCGCCCACACAGACGAATCGGCAACAGCTACACGCGGGCAACATGTTGGGACGTGTCAAACAAAAACACCCGGAAGCCGCACAGACCCTCTCCTGGGGGTTCGGCGGGATGGCGTAAGCATCTGTACAACATACAAAAAAAACCTCGAGGGCCGAGGATCGAGGGCCGACGGTCGAGGACCGAGCGAGGGACAACGATCGGGGGGGGGGGCTGGCTCGAAAGGGGAACGTCGACCTGGAATCTGCGATGCATCGCCGATAGATCGGCGATGGGCCCCCGATACTGCAACCGCACGCTCCTGGGCGGGGTGGGCTATCGGGCTCCCATCGGCCATGAACTGGCGAGCGGGGGTCGATGCATCCCCCCCTGAGCCAACGATGCTCGTCGTCTGGCTTTCGGGTCACCACTTCCCGCCTCCAGCGGCCGCTCGGGACGATCCGGGCACGCCAGGAACGCTGTCGGCGAGGCGCAGCCGGTGGAGGTCGTCGCGAGACTCCCAAGCCGCCGAGCACCGACGGAAGCGCCCGACAACCTCGAAACGCGAACCCGAACCGCTCCCTCCTGACGCTGCCCCTGACCGAGAGAGCGCTCGTTGGGTCGAAGATCGATCCCACTCGGGGGCGCCCAACTTGGCACACCGGAGGCGGACGCCGACATCCGATGGCGAATCGGAAACGCCCAACTTGGGGACGCCCAACTTGGCACGCTGATGGCGAATCCGCACGTTCCTATGCGGGGTGGGGCTGTCAGACCCCTATCGGCGATCAACGGGCAAGCAGGGGTCGATGCGTTCCCCAATGAGCCTACCTCCCTCCTAATACCAAACCCCTATCGGCGATCAACGGGCGATTGGGGGTCGATGCGTTCCCCAATGAGCCTACCCCCCCCCATGTGGGCCAATCTTTCGCTCCAGATCCATTTTTGGTGGCCCCAGGGAACGAGACCGGGCCCCAGAAGCCCAAACCCACGAGCAAGCAAGGGGGGTAAAAAGAATCAGATCCTCGAACATCTGGGCACCGACGCCTCCGCGATGCATCGGCGACGTCAGCGATGCATTGGCGACGCTGGGGAGAGGAGCATCGGGCTCCACATCGAGCCGCATCGGCGATGTATCGGCGATGCGGCGCGATCCTCCGACCCCGTCTGCTCGGACCTGGGAGGCCTGCCTGGAGGCCCGATCACGGGCCTCGGAGGCTCCCTCCAGGGAATTACGTGCGTTGGCAAAGACCAAGGCCCTCGAGAGGACGTCGCCCGAGAAGGGCTCCACGACGAATAGAACCTGCACGGGAGTGCAGCTGGCCTCCCAACGACGAAAGCGGCCCGTTCCCAAAGACATGCGAAGCTACGATGGCATACACAAATTCCATGTACCAAGCCGAGGGCGGGGAAACCAAAAAGTACCGACACCGCTGCTCCTCGGACCTCTCCCGGGGTGCGATCTAACAAAGACTTCGGAGCGAACCCAGCGGTGGCGACGAGGGCCCCCCAGGAAGCCCGAAAAGGGGAACATGGACGAAGGGTAGCGACGTGGGTGCCTCTTCCTCCCACGAGGCCTATCCACATTCCATGCACCAAGCCGCGGGAGAGGTCGCTCGCTCGAAGGCCGATCCGCGGGCGGTGGCGCGCGGACCTGGCACGGGGACGCACTGACCCAGGCCAACCCAAACCCAGGTCAGTCAGGCCCTTCCATGGTGGGCCTGTTTTCCACCACCGCTATGAGTTGGAGGGGGAGGGGTCCTCCTCCTCCTCTTCCTCGTCCTCCTCCTCCTCCCCACACATCCAGCTCATGGTGGTGGTAGTGGAGAACAGGCCCATCAGATCCTGCGGGCTCCTGCACGCAAGCCCGGGCCAGTGCACCCCTGACCTCTGCGGCATCCGGCGATCCGGCGCTCTGGCTGAACCCCCGTCCCCGTGAGCCCCGGCGGGCGCATGCTGGGGGCGGGCGCCGGCGCGGAGCGGGCGCGCAGGCACGGCCCCGCCGCGGGGCGGGCCTGCGGCGGGGCGGCCCAGGCCTCGGAGGAGGGGCGCGGGGGCGCGAGGCTCGGAGGGCCCCCGGGTGGGCACGGTCAGCCCACGGCAGTGCCGTCGGAGGGAGAGAGGGGGAGGGGGAAGCGAAGCGAAGCGAACGCTGCAGTCGTGCGCGCTCCTCTCGGGAGCGCGCCCGTGCCCACTGTAGGGCATGGCGTGGAGGTCGTAGCCTCGACGAGGGAGATGGTACGTTCAAGCTTGTGGAGAATGGAGAAGGAGCCCAGACATGCGACGTCCTGATTCTTTCAGGACGGCGTCCCCGGAAGTCCCGACCCTTTCTTTCCCCAGGACCGGCTGTTCGTCCAGAGTTGTTTCTTGACGGCCCCGGGGCCCGGCGAGGGCCCCCCGGGGGCCGAAAATAGAGAAAACCCGCCCGTCCTGATGTTTTAACGACGCGAGCATGTCCGGGAGCAGAACAAGCGGGATGAGGCCGGGGAAGCAAAGATATCGGCCAGTGCCGCTGCTTTCTGGACCTCGCCAGAGACGCGTCCTGGTCCGGATGTTTCGAGGCCGAATCCAGCTGGGGCGACGAGGGGCGGGCAGCGGCATGGCTGCCTCGGTACCATCCTTCAAGAGCATGGGACTCTCCGCCGGTCAAAACACCCCAAGTCATAAGAGCAGTCGAGGGTATACCCTCCCCCAGGATGCCCAAGAACGTCCAACAGGCAGGAAGAACATTAGGGTACCTCGGTCCGATCGTAAGGATGCGCGGTGAGGATGCAAGAGCCTTGGACACCCATGCCGAGGCTCTTCGAGCGGGGCTGGCCATCGACAGTGGTTGAAGATGGACCGACGATGACCGAAGAGGCACGGATGCAAGGATGCCCTTGGGAAGTCGATCGTCCTTACTATCAGGGTTGACTACAGGACCGAATACCTGAGATCCTGGCGTTGAAGCTTTTCCACACTGGGCGGTTGAGCCCAATTTCGGGCCCCGCTGTCCTCACAGACCGGTCTGGCTTGAAAAGAAGGGCACAAAGATGGGGCCCAGGGCTCCGATCTTGATTTGCCGTGATGTTATAATGATTGTCGCAACGTCGGATCGCGGGGAATGAGCGACGAGAAGAAACGGGCCGTGCGCGAGAGGACATAACGACCCGACCTTACGCGGGAACGATGTCGCGCGTCAAGTCGCAGCCGAAACGGGCACCCTGACCTCCGACGATCTGATTTGTTCAGTCCCGGCGCTGTTCCCCCGGTCTGGGACCCCTGGGCCCGCCCACGGGCCGCCTCTGCCGAGTCGGGGCGGGAGAACTGGCCCAAAGCAGGGGATCGGGCCTTCTGGGGCCGCGCATTGAACAAATCACGGCGTGTCGCCGTGCCAGTTGTTCTCGACGCGCCCAAACGCTCGACGCCGACACCACGGCAAACACACGGCCAACCCTGCGCCGCACACCCCAAGTAGCCGAAGCTGGCACCGGGGCAAACCCCACGGCGAACTCACCGCGTCCGAGGTGGCGTGTGCCCTGATAGCCGCGGCGCCCTCCCCAAGGCGGAAGGCCGCGCGTCGGAACAAATGGCGCGGCGCCATATCGTCGGCTGTTTGGGAAGGGGTGTGGAAAGTAGTTGCGGGGACGAAGACCAACAGCAGTCCCTGTCCATTTTGAACTGGGGTTCGCTACATGTGTCGCCGCGGGTGCTGTCCGTTCGAGGCACAAGCTCGCCTGCCCAACAACGGCTCGCTTTCGATTTGGGACAGCATCTGTTGTTGGGCATCGAACCCATTTTGCCACACCCAGTGCGGGCGTGCCAATCGGAAGGGCAACGCCAGAGGGGGGGGGGAACGGCTCAGTGCGAAGGCAACATCGAGCTGGAATCCGCGATGCACCGCCGATAAAACCCGCACTGGGCCCCCGGTCCCGAATCCGCACGTTCCTGGGCGGCGCACGCTGTCCGGCCCACGTCGGCGATGAGTGGGCGGTTGGGGGTCGAGGCGTCCACCCCTGAACCTACATCCGCCCTTCACTCTTATTTTTACTTTTTTTTCAAACGAGAGGGACGATCGCGCGACTGCGTCACAGACCAATGTTGCTGCGCGCCGCTGGCGCCGACCAGGGCGGACGAATCATGCCCCCTACGACCAACAAAGGCATGCACCTCGGGCTACCCGTGACAAGTGTTGCCCAGGCGGGCGGGCGGAACCCCGAACATCAGTCGAGTATCGACTCCGAGAGGCGAGGAGGAACAGGACGAAAAGGAAGAAGGGAGGGAGGACGAACCTACATCCGCCCTGGCGTTGCCACTCAAGACCGAGGTTAGAGGCACGAGGCTCCGAGCTTCTGGGATCTCGCGCGGCCTGTCCGCCCTTTTTGTGGGGTCTCCTGAGGGCTACCTCGTCGTCGCCGCGGCCGGGATCCGCCGCTGAAGCCTGGCCACAGCGCACACCAGGAGAGGACCAGGGGCCGACTCCTCACTCGAGCTGAATACACAAAAGATCCCTCTCCATCTCGTCTTCTTGCACTGTGCGGACATCGATCGGGTGGTCGCTGCGTCGGTGCGGAAATGGAAAAGTGGGAGGCCCGACTTGGGCGAAGTGGCTAACACATGAAATCCCAGTGAATGCAGAATGTGCGAAGAAGACGCATAGCCCGCAAGTGCATGGGACGTACCTTCGTGGTCGAGGGAGGAGGTAAGCGAAACGATAACGCATAAACCCCCAAAGCCCGAATCCGCCGGCCCCCTTGTGGGGCCACCAGGCTGTAGGCCGGGAATTCGCAGTTTCGTGTACCAGTTGCAGCTTCCAGTTTCCACTGTTGCACTTCTGCGTCCTTCTTGCTGCTTACTGTTCCTTGTTGACTTCTTACTGTTCCTTGTTGATGGACCGCGCGAGGGGGGGAGGCCCAAAATGGGCATTTTTACAACGGCCAAAACATATGCTCTGAATTGCTGGGGTGGGTAAAAAATTACACCACTCACGCATATCGGCGGGGTCAGGGTCCAACAACACAAAGGATTTGCTACATTTCTGAAATTCGGTCGCACCCTCACGCAGATCGGCGTGGTCAGGGTCCAAAAACACAAGCGATTTGCCACACTTCTGAAATTCGGTCGCACCCCCCACGCAGATCGGCGGGGTCAGGGTCCAAAAACACAGGGGATTTGCTACACATCTGAAATTCGGTCGCACCCCTCACGCATATCGGCGGGGTCAGGGTCCAAAAACATACGGGATTTGCAACATTCTGACATCCGGTGGCACCCCTCACGCAGATCGGCGGGGTCAGGGTCCGAAAACACAAAGGATTTGCCACACTTCTGAAATTCGGTCGCAACCTCACGCATATCGGCGGGGTCAGGGTCCAAAAACACAAGGATTTGGCACGATTGTGATATTCGGTGGCACCCCTCACGCAGATCGGCGGGGTCAGGGTCCAAAAACACAGGGGAGTTGCTACACTTCTAAAATTCGGTCGCACCCCTCACGCATATCGGCGGGGTCAGGGTCCAAAAACACACGGGATTTGCTACACTCTGGAATTCGGTGGCACCCCTCATGCAGATCGGCGGGGACAGGGTCCAAAAACACAAGGATTTGGCACGATTGTGATATTCGGTGGCACCCCTCACGCAGATCGGCGGGGTCAGGGTCCAAAAACACTGGGGATTCGCCACATTTCTGAAATATGCTGCCACCCTCACGCAGATCGGCGGGGTCAGGGTCCAAAAACACATGGGATTTGCCACACTCCTGAAATTCATACAACAGCGAGTACAACAATAGACTCGCAATCTCCATTCGTCTTGCCAATTACCCATCGTCTTCGCATGAAGTTCCGACGCTGCTTCACGGTGAAGCCAAAGCCTCATGACTTCGCTCTTCCATTGCCCATTCTCCGAGAGAGGGGGACGGCGGCAGGGGGCGAAGCCCTTACGGATCAACAGAAAGAAACCGAACGGAGAACCTCCTCCTCCTCCTCCTCCTCCTTCTCGTATTCCTCTCCCTACTCTTCCTCCTACTCCTCCTCGTCCTTCTCCTCCTCCACCTCCGCATCCTCGGACACGAGCGTCCTCGTCCTCGTCCTCGCTGGTGGTCGGGTAGTGGATAAATGTATTCCGGATGGTCGCGCCGCTGGCCCACATGCAGTCCTCACAGGAGGGTTGGCGGCGGAGCGGCGGGGCTTCTTCGGAGGCAGGAGCGAGGGCGAGGAGGGATCCTCTTTCTTCCTCATCCTCGTCCCACCCTCCCTCCCTCCCTCACCCTTCTCGTCGTCCCACTTCCCATCTCTAATCCCCCCCCTCTCTTTTTTTTCCGCTTCCTACACCCTGCAACCTCCTCCTGCCGAGAACTCTACTGAACACGGATGCAGGCAAGGGGGTCGGGAGGCAAGGCCAGGAAAATGGCAGCGGCACCAAGAGAAAACGGACGAGAGAGACTAACCGGCCACCTGAAGCCTACCATCGGCGTGCTTAGGCAGTCCGCGTCGCGGCGCAGTCTCATGCCCCTTGAACACCAGCGTGGCCTTTACTTCCTCCGGCTTCCAAGATGAAGCGTCGAGAACCCTGGCCGCGTTCCAGGGCAGACGTGGGGTGCACGTGGCCGAATTGGGCACAAAGGACGGCCCAGGGTGGGAGGCGCGCGGGAAAGGGAAAGAAGACGCTCAGAACATGTAGTCCATCAGCGTGAGTGCCGGAGTACCTGCACAGCAAGGAGGTCACACGGGGGAGGCGTGGCGGCACTGGCGGTGTTCATTCCCCCCTCCCCCTGCACAGGCGGCGGCAGCAGTCAGGTCGGCGTCACCTCTTCATCTGAAGAGGGTGGGGGGTCCTCTGCCATGGGGCTTGGGCGGAGCGCTGGACATTCCTAGAAGGGACTCGCAGATATTTGCCGCGACCTCCGCGCCCGCGCCCTGGCTAAGCGGAGTTTGCGACAAAGCCAAAGCACGCCTGCCGCATTCACACTTGATGTACCAACAGTCATCGAGTTACGGATAAGGAACAAAGGGTCGTTTCTGTTGACGGCGAGCCTCGGCCACGAAGAGGTCCCTCGACCGCAACGTCCGGAAAACACAGCCCCTCCTGAGTTCCAAGCGGACAATATCTCGGCGTCTTGACTGTCGTAGCCCCTTCCACACGAAGCGCAATAGGCAAATCGTGCCCAATCTCCTCCTCGGCGAACTTCATGGCAACCCTGCCGTGGGTCTCAACGGCGCCTCTCTGACATGCTGATCCCGCTGGCTGTCCGGAGCCCCCTGGCCTCAGTAGAGGGCACCCCGATCGCACCGACCAAGCAATGTTCAGCATGTCAAGCGGCGATACTCGATTCGGTCAGGTCACGCGTCGCAGGTGGATCGGACCCTCGATCGGACACCCGAAAAGGCCCTGGCTCAGATCTGAGTCGAACTTCATGCGTGCCAGCTGGCTAGGCGCCCAGCCAGCGCCCCATGTGGCCGCCTCGCTGCGATGATTGTGGGATGGCAAAATGCTGGAGCCAAAACAAAGCTTGCCGCGATACTTGCGATCATGGTTGTAAAGCTCATCGTCCTCCTTCGATTGCTGCAACTACTACTATCAGTAGTGCTACTACGACTCTCCTACACATGCTACAGCTACGGCTACGGCTACGACGACGACAACGACGACGCTGACGACGACGACGACGACGACGACGACGACGACGACGACGACGACGACGACGACGACGACTACTACTACTACTACTGCTAATGCTACGATTACTGCTACGACTCCAACTACTACTACTACTACTACTACTACTACTACTACTACTACTACTACGACTACTACTACTACTACTACTACTACTACTACCACCACTACTACTACTACTACTACTACTACTACTACTACTACTACTACTACTACGCCGACGACGACGACGACTATTACTACTACTACTACTACTACTACCACCACCACCACCACTAGTATTTTTCGTACTACTGCTACTACTACTGCTACTACCACCACCAGCGCTACTACTTTTTCCTACTACTGCTGCTGCTACTACTGCTACTACTACTACTACTACTACTACCACCGCCGCCAAACCCACTACTACTACTACTACTACTACTACTACTGCTGCTTCTGCTGCTGCTACTACTACTAATACTACGACTACAACAACAACAACTACTACTACTACTACTACTACTACGACTACTTCTACTACTACTACTACCACTACATCTACAAGTACTACTACAACTGCTACTACTACTACTACTACTACTACGACTAGGATTACGAGCACTACTACTAAAACAATATGAGGACTACAACTACGGCTACTACTACGACTGCTGCGATTACCATGCCTACTGCGACTGCTACTACGACTTCTTCTGCTACGGTCACGATTCCGACCACTACGACGACTACTACTACTACTACTACTACGGCTACGGCTACTACTACTACTACTCCTACTACTACTACTACTACTACTACGACAGCGACTATGACGATTACTACTACTACTACTACTACTACTACTACTACTACTTCTACTACTACTACTACTACTACGACTACTACTGCTACATCTACGAATACTGCTACTTCTCTCACCACTACTACTACTACTACTACTACTACTACTACTACTACTACTTCTGCGATTACGACTATGACGACTACTACTACTACTACTACTGCCACAGTTACTCCTGACGCTTCTACTACCACTTCTACTACTTCTGCTGCGAGCTACAACTATCACCCATACTACTATGACTACTGCTGCTACTACTACACCTACAGCTACAGCTACTGAAACAGTTACTACTACTACTACTACTACTACTACTACTACTACTACTACTACTACGACTACTACTACTACTACGACGACGACGACGACGACGACGACGACAACGACTACGACTACTACTAGTACTACTGCTACTGCGACCACGACTACTTCTTCTACTACTACTACCACTATTATTACTACTACTACTGCTGCTACTACTACTACTACTACTACTAGAAGTACTACTACTACCACCACTACTACTACTACTACTACTAGTACTACTACTACTACTACTACTGCTACTACTATTTAAACTACGACTACTACTGAACCTACTGCTACTACCTACTGCTACTACTGCTACTGCTACTACTGATACTACTATTACTACTCCTACTACTACTACTGATACTACTGAAATTCTGCGACTACTACTGATACTACCGCTACTACGACAACTGCTACTACAATTACTACTACTACTACTGCTACTACTACTACTACTACGACTACTACTACTACTACTACTACTACTACCACCACTACTACTACTACTACTACCACTACTACTATTACTACGACTACGACTAGTACTACTACTACTACTACCACTACTGCTACTATTACTACTACTACTACTACTACTACTACTACTACTACTACTACTACTACTACTACTACGACTACTACTACTACTACTACTACCACTACTACTACTACTACTACTACTACCACTACTACTACTACTACCACTACTACTACTACTACTACTACTACTACTACTACTACTACTACCACTACTACTACTACTAAGACTACGACGACTACGGTTACTACTACTACTACGAGTACTACTGCTACTACTACTGCTACTACACTACTACTACTACTACTACTATTACTACGACTACGACTACTACTACTACTACTACTTCTACTACTGCTACCTACTACTACTACTACTACTACTACTACTACTACTACTATTACTACTACTACTACTACTACTACTACTACCACTACTACTACTACTACTACTACTACTACTACTACTACTACTACTACTACTACTACCACGACTACTACTACTACTACTACGACGACGACGGCGACTACTACTACTACTACTACTTCTACTACTACTCCCCCTACGACTGCGACTATTACTGCTACGACTACGATTACTGGTACTTCTACTCCCGTTGGTACTTCGACCAATACTACGACTATGACAACTAATCCTACTGCATCTTACGACTAGTAAGGCTACCACGACTACTCGCACTACCACTACGACTACAACTACCAACCGAACCAACACAGCGATTTTTGTGACTACAACTGGGACCACTGCTGCTGCTACTGCGTACACGTACGACAACTACGCGGAACACTACAACTGTTACTGCTACGACTCCCACGAACACAAATTTCACTACTACGACTGCTGCCACCATTCAAACTAGCGCCGTCATCGTTACTACGGCTACTACGAGAAATACTACGACTACGAACGCGTAAGCTAGGTCCAAGCGTTCGGCGACAACGGCGGCTCCGACCACAGCCCATAGCGAATATACTACACGAGCTACATGGGGCCGCTCGGCGACGAATCCTGTGGATGCACATCGGTTCGAGCCCCTGCGGGCAAGCCTTCGACTGAGACTCAGCGGAGGCCTCCTCAATGGGGCCGCAGAGTAACTACGGTCGGAAGATCGCGCCGCGATCCTCGAGCGTGGACTAACCCAGCCCAGCGCAAAGCCAGATTACCAAATTTAGCAAAAAATGCGCTGCAATTTTCTGGGGTCTTCACAAACCTGGCTCGTCCAATATGTAAAACAACCTCCAGGGCCGCGACTGGCCTTCAAACGATGCTCAGCCAAAATCCAGCTTTGCAGAGTCCTGCAGTATCTGGCGCTCTGGCTGAGCACCGTGGGCGCTGAACCCTGCCGACCCCAAAACTCCGACGTCGACGCCTGTATTCATGACGTAGACGTAGGGCCCTCGTGACTCTCGCCCCCCCGTCTACAGGGGCCCATATCTCGCCGCTGGCCGTTTTTTTGTTAAGCGCCTTGTGGATCGTGAACAAAATCTAGATCCAGATTGCCAGAAAATGCACTTCGCGATTTTGTTCGCGACGATCAAAATTATGGCGATCACCAATAGTTTCGGAGAAACTCTAAACGCCCTCAGGAAACTTTAAAACCCGCCGAAGAATCCGAACACCAGCAAGCCAACACACACACACACACTCACACACACAAACACAAAGCCTTGCAAATCCCCCGCACCCTGCGGATACACTTCGAATCCTGGCATGGTGTCGACGACGGCGACGGCGACGGCCGCGGCGGCGGTGATGACACGGCGGGCCCGTTCCCAGCGGGGCGCCGCCGCCGCCGCCGACCCTGCCACTCCACTCGGAGACGAGCTCGCCGCCGCCGCCGCCGCCGTCGTCGTCGTCGTCGTCGTCGCAGTCGTCGTCGCCGTCGCGGTGGTAGTCGTGGCCGTGGCCGTGGCCGTGGTCGTGGTCGTGGTCGTAATCGTGGTCGTGGTCGTGGTCGTGATCGTGGTCGTGGTCGTGGTCGTCGTCTTCGTCGTCGTCGTTGTCGTTGTGGTCGTGGCCGTCGTCCGCAGTCGCCCGCTGCCGCCGTCGGGCGCGTTTGTTCGCAGCCGTCGCCGTCCGCCGCCGCCGCCGCCGCTGGCAGGCACCGCGCGCCAGAAGAGGGGCGGCCCGTGGCGCGGCGGCGGCTGGGCGGCCGCGGCAGGGGATGGGCGCGGCCGCCGACTCGGGCCCTCCTCTGGCGAGACCCACAGGTCCGCGGCGGCCGCCGGGGGCCCCACCTCGCAGGGTGGGCAGCTTCGCCGCCGTCGCGGCCGCCGTCGTCGCTGGTGCGGCCGTCGTCGCCGTTGCGGCCGTCGCCGCCGCCGCGGACACCTTCGTGGTCGTTCCGCTGCCGCCGCCGTCACCACCGCCGCCGTTGCCGTCATCGCCGTCATCGCCGTCGTCACCGCCGCCACCGTGGTCGCCGTCGTCGCCATCGTCGTCACTATCGTCGTCGTCGCCATCGTCGTCGCCGCCGTCGCCGTCATCATCGCCCTCCTGCTCCCTCCCGCTCCTGCTATGGGCGGAAATGGTGCGGTCGCGGCCCCGAGGGGCTGGTGCGGGAAAGGGTTCCGCACTGGCGGGAGGTGACCAAACCGCGTGGTGAGTCAGTGGGAATTCGTGGTGATCAAACGCTCTTGGGACGCGGGTCGCTCTCCGAGGATGTCTCGGGCTGGGGCCTTCAGGGTCCTAACACTGTGCGGTTAAAGACGGTGTGTCACCGCACTGTTTTGGGACCCCCAAAACATGGCCGAGGCGATGCTAAAGAGCGGAATCGCCCAGGAAGCCCAGCGACCCCGTGCACGCGCAAGGATCCGGAAAGCGGGCCGGCTGTCCAGAGAGCCACCAGAGAAAGGTTGCAACAGCACGAGCTCTCAGATCTGGGCGTTGCATTTTCTCAGGGAACCTCCGGGGTCGATCCGGCTCGAGAAATGGAGCAGATTGAAGGGGTCGAGGGCTCCAGGGTGTGATTTGACGCTTCGTTGCAGCTTGTTCCTAACTGCGGATCTCGAGGTGGAGGGGAGCTGTCTTGATGGCCAACGCAATTGTAAGGATGTCACCGTCATCGTCGTCCATGACTTCATGCGAGCCCTGTACCCCTGTAGGCCAGATCCTCGAAACACCGGCAGGGCGTCGGAACTCGCCAAATGAGCCCGAGCAGGGATGTCCGATAATCTGGCGCCAGCCAGGCTCGCAGGGCTATGTGTGTATCAGGCTCGTGGTGTAGGATGGCACATGGGAGAAAAAGCACGGCCGGGGATCGACTCAAACAAATGAACGTCTGCCGCTGGGAAACGGTTTGGAGGGGACGATCGCAAGCGCAACTGTACGAACGTCGTCGTCTTAATCATCCACGTCTTCCTGCCAGGGCACATGCATGAGAGTCCTATAGCCACGCAAGCCAAATCCTCGAAACACCGGCAGGGCGTCGGAATTCGCCAAATCAACCCCAGCAGAGGTGTCCGATACCCTGGCGCCGACCAGACCCGCAGGGGTGCGTGTCAGGCTCGTAGTGCGGGCAAGGCGATGGGGAGAAAAAACACCAGGGGCAGATTCAAACAAACCGTCTGCCGCTGGGAAACGCTTTGGAGGGGACGATGAAAGAGTTTCGATGGCGACGACTGCGCCCGCATGCGCAGGCCCAGAACTCAATCTACTTATCATCGCCAAGGGCACCACTGCGAGACGCGCCGCCCAGGGCCGTCCGCCATCGCCATCCTGCACTGAAAGGCCACAGCGGGAAGCAACACGAAAAATATGGAGGGAACTCGCGACCTGGACCCTCTCGACCCCAGATCCCTGCGGCATCCCTCCAGCCGGATCGATCCGTGAAGGCCTCGCGGGGTCTGGAACCGAGGAGACCGAAGGATGCCGATACCGGTACTCTCCGGACCTTTGCCAGGGTGCGCTCTTCTCAGAGTTTCGGCGAAAATCCAGCCTCCGCGACGAGGGCTCTGCAGGAAGGAGGAGCAGCGGTGTCGCTGGTCACCTTGTTCCTCCGATGAGGAACTGAGCGAAAAACGCCCGGCGTGAAAAAGCGCGAAGCCCGCATTGGATTTCTCGCGCGACGCGAGGAGGTCGACCAGGATCCTCTCAAAATCGATCTCCAGACCTCTCCAGGGCTCCTGGCCAGTGTCGAGGGCCTGCAGAAACGCCCAGAAGCCTCGGTCCCTCGACCCCTGGATCCCGACTCGGCGGCGCGCTCAAGGGATCCCCCCCCAGGGGTGCGAGGGGGGGAACTCCTGAGAGGGCGGGGTGCTGCTGAGAAGGCCAGGGCCCTCTTCGAAGCCCTCTCTGCTTCCAAGAGGTCTTCTCGGAAACCTCGGGGTATTTCTGAAAAGGACTCTGCCCTCCGAGAAGCCCCCCCCGCCTTCTTGCAGAAGGCCCCCTCCCCTCGCGCCCCCCCCCCTTTGCGCGCGCCGGGACCTCGATCCCGATCTCTCGATCCCTCGATCCCCGAGCTTCGCAAGGCGTCGCTCGGGGGGGTGGGGGGCGAAAGGGTAGGATAGCAAAGGGCAGGGTAGAGAATCGGCTCACGCAGCTGGTTCTCCTAGGGCCTCCGAGCGCCGGGAGGTGCCCATGTCTCGAGGAGTGGGCCCGGCGGCGGCGTGGAATCCCGCTGCATGCAGCAGATGTCGCACCCCCCCCCTTTTCGGGGGTTGCTAGAAGAGCCCCTGGCCCAAGGTACCCCCAGCTTTCCGCTCCATTCTGGAGCCCCTGGGGCCCTCTGGGCCTCGTGAGGGGTGCTCTGGAGGCCGTCTGGGCCCCCCCGGGAATCCTAGGGGTGCCCTGGGCCAGGGGCACTGCTAGCAACACCCGACCCGTTCCCTAGCCGAGCCCTGTGTCTGGCCGGGCTCGAGGGGCACCTGCGGAGCCCCCCCCCCCGCCCCGGCGCGCCTCCTCCGGAGCCGCGCCCTCCAGCGGCGAGCGGCCCGAGGGCTCCATGCGCGGCGTGGCCCTCGCGCGCGCTCGGGCCGGCGAGGCCAGCCCCGGACGGCGCTGCGCGGTGGCCCCGCGGCGGTGCGGCGCGGCAGCGCCCAGTTTCGGCAACGCGTCTCCGAGGATACGTGGCGGCGTGCGCAGAAGGGGGGTGGGGGAGCGGGGAAGGCGCCTCAGAAGGAAGCCGCTCCTTAAAAACAACGGCCCGACAACTGCAGACGAGGCCCGCGCCTACTAAGAAGCAGGGCTGCTTCTAAGACGCCTTCCCCCCTCCCCCACCCCCCTTCTGCGCGTGACCGAGATACGACGCGTGACCGAGATATGACTTTGCTGACACCGTCTGTGGCGGCGCCCCTGGGGCGCTCCGCACTCCAGGGTTACTGAGACCGCCCAGGCCACGCGGACCGCCCAGGCCACGCGGCGGCATCGTGGTGGTGCAGCGCGGCAGCGCCCAGCTTGGGCTGCGCTCTGTCCGCCCTCCGGACCCGTTTCTGACGGCCCCTGGGCTAGACGACGGACCCCAGAGGTCGACAACTACCTCCTAGAAACTGCCAGCGCTGCAACAACACGCCGCCGGAGATCCGGACCTGCGCCACGGCGGGCGAGGTGACGCCGCGGCGCCGCGGCCGAGACGCCCCGAAAGAACCGCGCCGGCACGGGCCCTCCTGGGACGATAGCGATGTCGTGATGCGGTTGGCTCAGGGTAGGTTCCAGGAGCTCTGGATCACCTGGCGCCCCTCTCTCGCGGAGCCCGTGCGGTACAGTTGGAAATCTGGGATCTCTGGAAACACGTGGAACGCACAAGGAAACTGGAAACACGCATGGCTGGATTCACATGCGGAACATATGGAGGCCACGCGCTGGATGATACACACGCGGAGGTCCGTCGCACACGGCCTCACAGGTCGAGCGCTGGAAAAAATTCTGGCCACGTTCCTGAAAACCTGGGTCCAGAGACGGTGCCATGCCTTGGGCGATGGAGACTTTTGCTTCCGCTGCCTTCCGCCGCCTGTCGCCGAGGAAGAGCTGCCAACTCTCGTCCGATCCTCGATGGCCAGGCCCTTCGAGAGCGTTTCTTTTTCTTTATTTCGGCGATGACGGGCGCCATGGAGGGGGGGGGCTGAGGGAGGTATGACGTAACCCCCCCCCCCCCCCCCCCCCGCCGTGTGGCTCCGGCACCACAGCCGCGCCCGCGCACACGACGACGATGAGCGACGAAAGAGCGACGAGCGACGAGCGACGACGACGACGACGCGAGCAGCATGTAGGTGAGGATCTGCCCTACAGCGTCTGTGTACACCACAATGCTCGCGTGCACCACAGCGCACGCGTACACCACAGCGCCTGCGTACACCGCAACGCAGCGCCTGTGCACACCACAGAGCTTGCGTGCATCACGGCGCCGGTGTACACCACAGCGAATGTGTACACCGCAGCAACCATATGCAATACAGCGCCAGTGTACAGCATAGTGCTTGCGTGTACCGCAGCGCTTGTGCACCCCACAGCGCCTGTCTACACCACAGCATCCGCGTGCAACGAAGCGCTGGTGTACACCATAATGCCTGCGTGCACAGGACAAATGGAAGAAGCATGTCGGTGAGGATCTGCTAAGGACAGCTCAACGCCACTCCAGGGAAGTGCTGATAATAGAATGCGACGAATGCGACGTTCTTCCCTCCTCTTTCTCCGCCACCTCCACCTCCACCTCCACCTCCACCTCCACCTCCACCTCCACCTCCTCCTCCTCCTCCTCCTCCTCCTCCTCCTCCTCCCTCACCCTTGCCCCCTGTCGTGCGGGTCGGCACTACAGCGCGCGTGCGCATCTCGGCGTGCACTGCAGAATGGTCAATTTCATCAGTCCACTTGTTTCTCGGACGGCCAATTTTGCTGGAGCCTCCTGGACGCAGATAGGAGGAATTAGGATAATGCGGGCGGACTCGGGAGGACTCGTATATTCCAGCGGCGTTTTTTTTTCCATAAGGATTCCGTTCCAAATCCTATATAAAACAACTGTTTTTTGTGGAATCCACAGTTGCTGCGGTGCACGCAGGCGCCGTGTTGTACACAGGCGCTGTAGTGCACGCAAGCATTGTGGTGTACACTGGTGCTGTGTTGCAGTTGCACACGGCTGATGTGGTGCACGCAGGCGCTGAAGTGTACACAAGCGCTGCGGTGCCCGCAAACACTGTGGCACACACTGGCGCTGTGTTGCACGCGGCTGCTGTGTTGCACATGCGCGGCGTGGTGTGCACAGGCGCTGTGGTGCATGCAGGCACGGTGGCGTAAACAGGCGCTGTGGTGCATGTCGCCACCTACATGCTGCTGCTGCCACCCCGGTCACTCCTAAGCATTCCAAGACGCCGCCGGCGCGAAACGTGACGTCATCGGCCCCGTCCACCTCCACCCCCCCGGATGATTGCCGTCATTGGCCCGCAATGAAACAAATTGGCTTCAGCCGCGTCCGCGCGCACGACGGCGATGAGCGACGAGCAACGAGCGACGAGCGACGAGCGACGAGCGACGACGACGACGACGACGACGACGACGACGACGACGACGACGACGACGACGACGACGACGACGACGACTGCGGACCAGACTCCTAGGCGGACTCCAATGCGGACACCTATGCGGATCATGATGCGCATGTCTGCAGTGCCCGCAGCGCATTGGGGGGGGGGGGGAAACGTTACGTCATAGGGGGCGGGGGCGGGGGCCATGACGCCCGTCATGCCCCAATCAATAAAGAAACACTCTCTTCCTGGCATCATTGTTACGATTTTTCCCTACCTAGGCTCTGCCTAGAAGGGTTCTTACTCTCTTAGCTTAAAGGGGCCGGGCAGTGTAAAGCGCCCCGGGCGGTTCCCCGTCCCCTGGGAGCGGTTCCCCCCAGTCCCCTGGGAGCTTTAGCTTTAGCTTAGCTTTAGCTTAGCTTTAGCTTAGCTGTAGCTTAGCTTTAGCTTAGCGTTTCGCTTAGCTTTTCGCTTAGCGTTTAGCTTAGCTTTAGCTTAGCTTTAGCTTAGCTTGAGCTTAGCTGTAGCTTAGCTTTAGCTTAGCTTTAGCTTAGCTTTAGCTTAAGCTTAGCTGTAGCTTAGCTTTAGCTTAGCTGCTGCTCAGCTATAGCTTAGCTTTAGCTTAGCTTTAGCTTAGCTGTAGCTTAGCTTTAGCTTAGCTTTAGCTTAAAGTTAGCTTAGCTGTAGCTTAGCTTTAGCTTAGCTTTAGCTTAGCTTTAGCTTAGCGTTACTGTTACTACTAATGCTGCTTTCCTAGGGGTTCCAACTCCTAGGTAGGGTCGCACTGGGATAATTTTTCTCTGGCTTTCGCGGCGCACACCGCGCCGCCCGCCGCCCCGCCCGCCCTGCGCCTCAGGCGCCCGGCGCGAGCGAGGAGATGTACTCGTCGCCGTGCTCGGCGCGGAGCTGCTCGAGGAGGCCCTTCCACCATGCCGCCGCCTGTGTGCGGCAGGAGGAGCAGGCGGCACAGGACGCTCGGGGGCGACGGTGAGGGGCGAAGGAGCATCGCTGAACCAATCCTTATCACCACTGGGGTGGCCTCGGCCCCTTCTGGCCGAGTTGCCCACCGAGGTGGGGGATGTATGGCGGGCTCCGAAAACCCAGAAACAAAAGACCTTGCCATCTCTTGGGAGGCAAATTCTTACTTCCGGTGGCTTCCGCCGGCCTTCCGCCGGCGGAGTCGCCCTCGTTTTACTTCCGCCGCCTTCCGCCGAGGAAGAAACGCCAATCCTTTACGATTCTCGAAAAATGGCCCCCCGCTGGAGCGCTTCCTAGGAGCCAAAGTCTGGCCTTCCCCCTCCCCCCCGCGTCATGCTGATGCCTTCGCCCCGCCCCCTCCCCCGTGCGATGGGTTAGGGCGTTGGGATGTTTGGAAGGACGTTTTTCCAGTCCAGCAGATGCGCTTCGTCCAGAGCGTTCCCGGGGTGCCCGAATCGGCCCGAACCGCCGCCAAAGGCTCGAGTGGTGGCACGAGGGCCGAACCGTTTCGCGTTGCGGCAAAACTCGCGAGGAGGCGCATCAGCTGGGAGGTTGGTTGTGGTGTTGCCCCCCCCGTCGGTGTGGCGTGGAAGGGTGTTTCAAGGAGCGGTGCCGCCGGCCTCCGGGATAGGTCCAGAGGTCGTCCCCCGTCGTCGTCGTCGTCGTCGGCGGCGGCGGCGGGCGGCGGCGTCATCGTCGTCGCGTTCGCCGTCGCCGCCCTCCCATCCCATCTCGGGGGGGTAGGGAAGGGCACGAAGGACCCTGCGACCCATCCCATCTGGGGCGGGGGGGCGTGAACCAAAAACCCAGGATCATATACCTATACGACCGCCCTGCGGGCGATAAGGAGGTTGGGGGGGGATTGAGATCAAATGCCCACCCTGACTGACCTCCAGCCTGCCTTGATCTCATCTCTCTCTTTCTCTCTGTCTTTCTCTCTCTCTCTCTCTCTCCCTCTGTCTCTCTCTCTCTCTCTCGCCCTCTCTCTCTGCCTCCCGCTCTATCAGAATCCCCCACCACCACAATGATGATCGCGATGACGACGAGATCCCACTATCTACCTATCCGTCGACCGACCTATCGGTGAATCTGACTGTCGATCTTACGATCGACCTCAAAAGCAAAATGAAAAATCCCGCCGCAGGCTATGAACTCCTAAGATCCCTACGGACTCCTAGGGGTGAAGCAAACGGCCCTAAAGAGGTCCGTTTCTCCACCCCTCCATGACCACCCGCCCGACTTTCGGTGGTTCCAAGATGGGGTCCTGAGGGATGGGGTCCTAAGGACGAGGTGCCTCAAACAGTGTAAATCCATCCTCGAATCCCTTCCCATCCTCAGGACCCCATCCCTCAGGACCCCATCTTGGAACCACCGAGACTTTCGTCAAGGCCTCGCCCTCGGCAGGGGCCCCGGCGAGGTGCGCGTCGATCTCCTCGCCCGGCGGGGGGGGGGGCGCTCCTCCCCCCCAACCCACCCCCCGCCCCTGCGCGCCGCGCGCAAGATCAGGAGGGGAGGCTTCTGCACGGACACGGCAGCGTACAAACGCTTCCAGGGACAATGACATTCGGCGGCCAGCGACCGGGGGGAAGTGAGAAGGAGAAGGCCTTCTCAGCAGACGGCAGGGCTTCTCAGAAGCCCTTTGGCCTTGTGAAAGTTGTTCTGTGTTTTCGGGGAAGGCTTAGGAAACTTCTCAGAGGGCTGGGGGACTTCTGAGCCTTCTGAGAAGGCCCGCCCCTCCTTCCGACCTCCCCCCCGCCTCGCCGCCAAAATGTACAAATGCTCCCAGGAACAGTGATATGATATGCGAACGCAGGTCGAGCAGCCATCCTCGATATCCTCGACACTGGATGAGAATGCCAGCAGAGCCCCCAGAGCAACGGGCGCCAGAGCAAACAATGCGCCGTCCGTCCCCACACAGCAGATCGCAGGTTTCGCTGCCACGATCGGCCTCCAGCAGGGCGGCGGGTGGGACGAACGGGGGGGGGTGAGGTGAGCAGACGCGGGCTTGGCGAACCAGCTCGCGCGGCGACTCCTGGCGGCAGGAGGCGCCAGCTTGCCGGGGCAAGGCGACAGGCGGCGGAGCCAGAACCAGCCGCATGGAGCAAAGCTCACACCTCCCGCTCTCCCTGGCCTCTCCCCTTGCATCCCGACCGACCCGACAGGGGGGGGCCCTGAGGCCGTCAGAAAACTGCTCGCGATGAGAAACTGGCCCCATGGGGGCCCATGCCTCTGGGGAGCCACGCTATCTTGGAGTAGCGACGACAGGAGACATGTCGGACCCTATCCCAGGCGTCGTGGGTTTTTCGACTGGACCAGAAATTTGGTATCCAACCCTGGGGTATACGATGGGGGGGCGTCCATTCTCGATAGTGGTGCGTCCGACTGGCCCCGTTGGGGAGTATCTTGTTTCTGAGCGGCCAAACTTTTCAGGCGGAACTCGGGGGTTGGGGGAGAACAATCGCCTGCGAAACGACGTTGAGTGTCTGGGTCCTCCAAGACAACCCAAACTCGCTCGTCGCGTCAAGGCAACCTACGGGGGTCTCGTGCCGTGACGACTTCGGCCTTAAGCTCCTGACGCTGCGTGAATCGGTGACCTCTGGACGATCGCGGCTTGCCGTGATAGCGCGGAACGCTCGATGTCGGCTGACTTTGGGCTTCCGGCGGCATTCCATGTTGAATGCTCGCGCCGGGGCCGCCGTCGCATCGACGCGCCTGGGGGAGCAACAACAGCATGAACGGGACGCAGCCGCGGGGAACCCATAGACGCGCTACTGTTAGGTCGGGCATGTCCCCCTACAGCCTACAGGGGGATGTTGGACGAAACATAAAACAGATCCCAAACATGCACCAACAAAAGCAAACATGGTACACAACAAATCGTCCCCAGACTATTGTTTTGACTATTTTTGAATATTCCCCGAGGGACAGGCCCGACTTAACCACAGACGCGCTGCTGTGGAAGAATCACCAGGTCCTCTGACAACCACGAAGGAACAAGACGCTGACGGGCTCCCAACAGCGGCGTGTGCCACTGACACTCTGAGAAGCACACGTCGTCGGGGGGGGGACTGCTGGCTCAGGAGGGGGGGGGGACGCAGACCCCCGATCACAAATCCGCACGCTCCTGGGCGGGGGCGGGTTATCGGGCCCCTATCGACGATCACCGGGCGAGGAGGAGCAGATGCGTCCCCCCCTGAACCGATACCCCTGTCCCCGGTGATTGCCAGGCCTCCTCTAGGTACTGCGGTGGCCGCTCGGGGTGATCTGGGCACCCTTGGAGCGCTCTCGGAGATGCACATCGGCTGGAAACAAACCAAAGGCTGGAAAACTGCCAGGGGAACCAACGAGAACGCCACAAAGCCTCGAACCCTGAAGCCGGAACGCTTCCCCCTGGAACGACGTTTTGATTGATGCGCGTTTTCCCGCCGAGACGGCGCGAACCTGGCGCATCTTCGCTCCCCGCGCGAGGCGCGGGGCGCGGTCCTGCTTGCGCGCGCGCGCACCGCGCGGCCGTCCCAACGGAAGGGCCCGGCAGCCCTCCCTGCACGGACCGTGAAACGCTGGGCGCGAACGGGGGGGCACCCAAAACGGTGCACGACGGACCGTCGATGGCCTCGGAATCTCCAAAGACCTCACCCCTTGTGGGAGGTCGCAGGCCCTCGCCCGAGGCGGCCTCGAGCACGGCACAGGCCTCCGGAACCGTGCCGTCGCCCCGAAAACCCCCACCGACCCACCCCACGCTGTGGCCACCGCACCGTCCCGGGGACCCTGAGGCGAGGCGCGGTCGTCTTCGCGCCCTTGCTGGTGGCCCGTGATGCTCCTAGCCCACAGGCGCGGGTGACGTCGAGCTCCGGGTGGAGGAGGAAGCGGACAAGGAGAAAAAAAAGGAATTCACGGAATTTCTCCTAGGGGGGAGGAGGAAGAGGAGGGGTTTCAACAACCATGGCGGGGCCGCACCGAAGGTGTGAACTGCTCGGCAGGGCGCGCAGAGCGGGCCCCGCGCGCCTCCGGGCAGACTGCCCCGCGGCACGCCTCTCGCCTGTCGAGGCGGCTCCCCAGACTTGACCTCTCCCATCAGGCGCAGCCGTGGGCCTTCATAATTCGAGGCCGAGCCTGATGGACGGCTGCGCGGGCAGCGTGCCTCGGCTCGCCGTGCGTCCTCCTCTGGCCGACTGCCCTGGCGCTGCCCTGGTCTCGTCGGGCGCTGCCTCGGCTGGCCTCTGGCCTAGCACTGCCCTGGTCGCCTCGGGTGCTACCCTGGCTGGCCTCTGGCCTGGCCCTGCCCTGGTCTCCTCGTGCGCTGCTATGGCTGGCCTCTGGCATGGCCTGGGGAACTCCTCTTGCGCCTGCTGGCCTGCGCGCCACGGCTCGCCGTGCAGCTTCCTCTTGCGGGCTGCCCTGGCGCTGCCTGGGTCTCATCGGGCGCTGCCGCAGCTGGTCTCTGGCCTGGTACTGGCCTGGTCTTCTTAGGTGCTGCCTCGGCGGGCTTCTGTGCTGGCGCTGCCCTGGTCTCCTTGGGCGCCACGCTCCCTACGTGCCTGCTGGCCTGGGCTGCTGATGCTCTTCTGGTGCCGCCCAGAAAGTTCCCTGTTTGTCTTTGCCGCTGTTGCTTGTTCTGGCCTGGGGGCTCGTTGAACAGGGTTTGGTACGCCGGCGTCTGCAAGGCTACCAGGACGTAGGGCACACAGGCGGCTTGCCAGCTTCTCCAGCAGGCTACGCCTTGCTCGTCCACCCACCATTATGGTATGGTGTGGCTATGCCTCTCCATATGTTGCCTCGCCAACATTACCTCCTCTTCATCCAGGTTATGGTTATCGTCTCCCTTGTGTTGCTTAGTTGGCAGTCGAAGCTCTCCTTCTTCTTTGGCTTCCCCCACATGGTTTCATGATATCTGGGCGTGCGGATCCCGTCGGCTGTCTTGGGCACGTGGCCATCGCGGTCTGCTGGAGGAGAATCGTCCCGCCTGCTGGCCACTCTCGACGCTCGTCTCCTCCGTACCCTCCTGGCCCTTGAGGTGGAGGAGAACCCCCTGGTCGTGCCGAGGCTCGGCGCGTCCGGGCAGTGCCCCGCCTGCGGGCTGGAGGTGGGTGCACCTTGGGCCTTTGGGGCACCATCGGTGAAGGGACTCGGAGAGGAGGAGGAGGAGGAGCAGGAGGAGGAGAAGGAGGAGGAGGACACGGAGGAGGAGGAGGACGAAGAGGACGAGGAGGAGGAGGAAAGGGAGGAAAGGGTTTTTTCCCCCGCGAGGAAGCAGCCGCTTCTTGGCCAGCTTGAAGGCTGGCACATGCGAAAATGGCCAACAACAGCGGCGAGCCGCTGCTGGCACAGAGCACGCGGCCTCAAGGGAGGCCGGCAGAGAGAGAGGACGTTCTAGCGCCGCAATCGAGGCCGTATCAGAATCGTCTTCATCCAGCCCCCCGCTCCCCACCCCCCAGGGTCGACGGGTTGCCTCCAGCGGCTCTTGAAAAGGCGATGCATTTTTGCCTGGAATGCATGCGCGCTCCTTGTCTGCCTGAGATGGTTCAGGCGCGAGCGGAGCCTCGTCTACCTTGAGTTCCAAAGCCTGTTGCTCTGGGACTGGCGGTGGGGATTCACTGCTCGCGAGAGACAAAGGGAGCGGGGCAGAATCAGCGACGGCGCTGACCACACCACAACCCGCGGCCTGAGCTGAAAGCACATCGGGGCTCAACACAGACAGAGGAACGCCAGCGTCGTTGGAAGCGCTACTCTGTGGGAGTGCATAACTAAGACAAAACGTCGGGAACGGAGCCTCATGTGTCGCCCGTTCTAGAACCTTATCCATGACACAACGCTTATCCCGCTCAGACACCGCAGAACGCTCTGAGGCGTGGGACGGGGCGTCACGGCTCTCAGCGGCGGCAAGGGCAAGGCCCGCACACACCTCACTGTTGAAGCAAACGGTTTCAGGAGAAGTGGGCCGTGCGACATCTGGGCTCGAGGCATCTAAAAAACTTTGCGGCCTCGTCGTCCGCTAGGAAAGGGTCGGGCACTGGCGCCGTATCAGCTGACAGTGGGGTGTGAGGCTCTACCGTCTGCTAGTGGTCCGCGGGCTCCATGGCCAGGGACGGCCGCTCCGAACACACATCTTCACCGTCGTCGCTCTGAATCGGTCGGCAGCAGGTCGGTACTGTAGTCGATCAAGATTCGCACAGAACCCGTGCCGCACTGCGAATGAATGCCTCGAAGCACCCGGTTCCATTTCCACTGTTGTCGGGTGTCCCCCTTGCCACTGCAGCGGCGACAATACAAATTCGACTTCAGTGAGGACCCTGTGGAGACGAACGCGGCACAATGCAAACAGATGAATAGCTAGGATTTGTCCGAACAAAGGGAAACAGACAACGCGGTACCGATTGCCATCGATCCCTGTCGGGTCCAAGCCTAAAGTTTCGCCCGTGCATTTTCGCCTTGGCGGCCGAGGCGCGCACATCGATTCGGTGGTAACATCTGCCTCACAGGTGGCCCTGCAACACAAGCCACATCGCCAAAGGCCAGCAATCCATACACAGTGTCAATCAAACGCCGCCTTGTCCCTCACAGGTGCTGGGATCGGTCGGTACTCAACCTCTCCATCCTCCTTGAGAGACGGAAGCAGAGGAAGCACTTTCATGGCAGAGCGGCAGCTACGGACAAGGGAGGAAAGGTGGGAGGAGGAAGAAGAGGAGGAGGAGGAGGAGGAGGAGGAGGAGAAGGATCAGTCATGCCATTCCAGTTTTTTCTTGAACCTCATTTCTGTTGCAATCCTTGGTGCGTCGAGGCGGCACGGATCCAGGGACATACCTGAGCGGGGGCGCGCCGGCGCCCTGAAAACATGGATACCACCCGTGTGGTGCCAGGGCGAGGTGAGCAGGACTATCCGCGTTAGCGGTTATATAAGATGCAGCAGTCAGCGCAAAGCTGATTGGTTTCCCAGCAAGGGGGCTTGGGATTCCAAAAAAGATTAAGGGCGGTGGTGGGGCTGCTGGACGGTGAGAGGAAAAGCTGCAAGCGAAAACCCTCACTCACTTCCTGAATCCCATGCTAAAAAGCAAACCCATCAGTCATGCCATTCCAGTTTTTCTTGAACCTCATTTCTGTTGCAATCCTTGGTGCGTCGAGGCGGCGCGGATCCAAGGACATACCTGAGCGGGGGCGCGTCGGCGCCCTGAAAACATTGATACCACCCCAAATACGCAAAACTTGTTAGCGGCTCGAGGTACTCCAGCTCAGTCTAGCTTTCGCTCAAGGCACCACCGAAATACCGGAACAGCAGGCGGCCCCCAGTACTCTAGCAAACCCACTGTCGATGAAGATTTTGGCCAGGCAGGACCCAAATCGATAGGGATAAGCGGCCGCACGCTTGGTCCAACGGACCCCCAGAGGGTCCCGTCCAGTCAACACGATGTGGGGCTGCTTGGAGTACTCACAGGGCTTAGTTCCGTAGCTACCACACTTGAAAATCATGTTCTCGATTCCTATCAGTCACTACGTTCTCGACGTTGAGGCCTCGACAGAGGCCTTGAAACTCGGGGGTGGACCAGATCAGGCTCGTCTGCGGGTTCTCGATGACCCACGGTACGCTGCACTGAGAAGCGTAGGCACAGAACTGGGCAGTCAGCTGCATGAGGCGGGTCTCCATCTCGAGCTGTCTCCGAATATGGGGCTGAACATCTGGCAGCCCGAGGATATGTTGCTTGGAACGAATCATTGGCCTTCTCGCAATACTGTGCGTGGTACACGGGGGGGGCGCAGAGCAGGCCGAGGCAACGAGGATGTGCGATCAACCTTCGGATGCGCCGTTGTACACTGACACGTGTGACATCACCCTGCGGGCCTTGCAAAATATCGAAAGCGAACGCATCGATCCCCCTCCGTCTCGCGGCTCGACTGAAGCTGCCACACCCGCTGAAAACTTCAATCGCGAAGAAGCCTTTCCTGGCGGCACGCCTCGGTGTGCGCGAAGCTGCTTGCCGGCTCTCAGCATGGTTGCCTCGAGCTCGAGTGCACACCTGGTGCACATGAGACGGCTGCGCTGGTCCAGCTTGTTGTAGACGTCCTGCACCAAGGCCATTTTCTCGTACCTCCTGACCGACGCCATGCTCCTCCATCTTCCCCGACGTTGTACTTCGGCGAGGTCGAGGCGGTTGTGGAGTCGATCCAGACTGGCACCCGCGTGCCGCCCCATGTGCAGGACGGGCTTCAGGTAGCTGATGCCTACCACGCCACACACGGTGATGAAGCTCGCACTCGTCTGCTTCAGGCTGAAGTTCCACAGGGGGCTTCCGCTGGGGCGAGCGTCCACGTACATCATCAGTATGTCCGACAGCCAGGGGCGACTCACGATAAGGCTCTCGTCCACCGCCCCCACCTTGCTGGACTGGCCGTGCTCGGCGGGGTGCAGCAGGATGGCCGCCAACGCCATGTGCCGCTGCGACGTTGCCCTGAGCACCTGCGAGGTCTTGAGATCCAGGCACTCTCCCGGCCGCATGTAGGTGTCCACCATCAGCAGCCAGGCCAGCGCCATGCCCAGTCCCTCCATGCGCAGCAGGTTCACCGCGATCGCGGCCACCACCTCCCACGGCAGGGGTCGGCGGGTCCGCCTGGGCACCAGGCGGCGCCAGCCCCGCAGCGACCGCGTCGCCCTGGGCAGGGTCATCATATCCTTGGCATTGTACACCGGCACCACATACTGTATCGCTGCAGTGAGCTTCTCCCCTGTCGACGGCGCCTTGCCCTCGAGAAAAAGCCGATCGAAGTAGCAAACCACGTGGGCGTCCAGCTCCGCCGGGTGCAGGCTGAGGTCCACGACATTCTGCTTCGTCTGGAAATCCGAGAGCAGTCGCTTGTACTGACCTCGGGTCTTCAGCGTCAGCGAGGCCTCCTCGGTGATACCGGGGCCTTTTGTCGTGTCCCGCAGCTCCCCGTGGGTGGCCAGTCGCCTCGCGGCTCGCCTCTGCTGCAACTTCAGCTCCTTCTCGCGCTCGGCCTCCTTGAGCTCCAGCAGGCCCAGGATCGGGTGACCCGGAGCTCGGGGGTTGGCCCCGACCAAGCTCGACACGTTCAGGCCGGTCTTCTGCCGCTTGCCCTCCTGCGCCTCGCTCGGCCTGCCGGGCACCCTCGGCTGGCTGGTGGCCTGCTGGCTCTGATCTGACCTGTTCCTCGGGCGAAGATGATTTGGCCGCCAAACTGGCGCTGACTGCGCTGCTCTTCGTAGATGGCTCTCGCTTGCGGGAGGGTCCATCGGCGAGGTTAAGCTCAGAAGGCATCCATCGGCATACGAATCTGGATCGAGTGGCTAGAGCCCACGCTGCGGCCTTACGGTGGAGCATGAGAAGACGTGAATCTCGACACCTGCCCTTGGAGAGAGACAAGATGAGCCCGATATCCCACCAGCCCTTTGGGCGTGAGTGGTTTAGAGAGCCCGCTCTGTCCTCAACCCCCCTTCTTCCCCTTCGGGGAGGGGTTTACCCCTCCCCCTACCCCTTCCCCCTGGGCCTGGAGAGGGAGCCCGGCGGGTGGTCAGAGAATCTTTTTCGACTCCTGGGAGGGCTAAAAAACGACGACCCTCACGAGGATTCTGGCCCCGACGGGGGGGCTGAGAAAAAAACCTCTCCTCTTCTGCGAAGCCAAAAACATTGATTTTACGAGGGTTTTGGGCCCATTTTGGGCTTCTGAGGGGGCAGCGCTCATCGTCCTTCATAGCAAAATCATTGATTTTACCAAGGTTTTGGGCTCATGTTGTCCTTCTCGTGGGGCAGCTCTCACTTGCGCTTCTGAGGAGGTCGCAAGAGGCCCCAAGATGGCCCCAAGAGGCCCCCAGGAGGCTCCCAAGAGGCCTCCAAGAGGCCCCCCAGAGGCCCCCAAGAGGCCCCAAGACGCCACCAAGAGGCCCCCAAGAGGCCCCCAAGAGGCCCCCAAGAGGCCCCAAGAGGCCCCAAGAGGCCCCAAGAGGCCCCCAAGAGGCCCCCAAGAGGCCCCCAAGAGGCCCCCAAGAGGCCCCAAGAGGCTCCAAGAGGCCCCCAAGAGGCCCCACGAGGAGCCCGAACGACTCACACCAGGACGAGGGGCCCGAACGACTCACACCACGAAGAGCCCGAACGACTCACACCACAAGGAGGGGCCCGAACGACTCACACCAGGACGAGGCGCCCGAACGACTCACACCACGAGGAGCCCGAACGACTCACACCACGAACGCGAGGAGCCCGAACGAGTCACACCAGGAGGAGGGGCCCGAACGACTCACACCAGGATGAGGGGCCCGAACAACTCACACCACGAGAAGCCCGAACGACTCACACCAGGACGAAGAGCCCGAACGACTCACACCACGAAGAGCCCGAACGACTCACACCAGGAAGAAGGGCCCGAACGACTCACACCAGGACGAGAAACCCCAAACGACTCAAATCACGAGGAGCGCTTTCTCTCCCTCCTCCTCCGCCTCGTCCTTCTCCCGCTCCCCCCACACGGAGGATGTGCAAGGAGGCGGGAGGAAGGAGGAACAGGGGAGATATGCGGGGCCAAGCGGACACACGCCTGAATTATCCCGGCAAAGCAACCTAACAGCGATGTGTAGAAGCATATCTGAAAGCATTCCCCTTAAGATTCAGACGAAAATCCAGTTGTCGAATTCTGCTGTTCTCGCAGTCGTAGTAGCATTCGCGATGACAGTCGCAGCGGCAACGGCAGTCGCAGTCACAGCCTCAGCCTCAGCCTGCCTCCTCCTCCTCCTGCTCTTTCTCCTGCTCCTCCTCCTCCTCCTCCTCCTCCTCCTCTTCCTCCTGCTCGTCCTCGTTCTCGTCCTCCTCGTCTTGCTCGTCCTCCTCCTCCTCCTCCTGGTGCTCCTCCTCCTCCTCCTCTCCTCCTCCTCCTCCTCCTCCTCCTCCTCCTCCTCCTCCTCCTGGTGGTCCTCGTTCTCCTCCTCCTGGTGCTCTCCCCCCCCCTCCTCCTCCTCGTCCTCCTCCTCCTCCTCCTCCTCGTCCTCCTCCTCCTCTCCTCCTCCTCCTCCTCCTCCTCCTCCTGGTAGTCCTCCCCCTCCCCTCCTCCTCCTCCTCCTCCTCCTCCTCTTCCTGGTCGTCCTCGTTCTCGTCCTCCTCGTCTTGCTCGTCCTCCTCCTCCTGGTGTCCTCCTCCTCCTCCTCCTCCTCCTCCTCCTCCTCCTCCTCCTCCTGGTGGTCCTCGTTCTCCTCCTCCTGGTACTCTCCCCCCCCCTCCTCCTCCTCCTCCTCGTCCTCGTCCTCCTCCTCCTCCTCCTCCTCTTCCTCCTCCTCCTCCTCCTCCTCCTCCTCCTCCTCCTCCTCCTCCTGGTACTCCTCCCCCTCCCCTCCTCCTCCTCCTCCTCCTCTTCCTGGTCGTCCTCCTCCTCCTGGTCGTCCTCCTCCTCCTGCTCGTCCTCCTCCTCCTCCTGCTCGTCCTTCTTCTCCTGCTCCTCCTGCTCCTCGTCCTGCTCCTGCTCGTCCTCGTCCTCCTGGTCTTGCTCGTCCTCCTCCTCGTCGTGCTCTTGCCCCTGCTGAAAATGTGGCCCAGGAATGGGAGTTCTGGGAAGTCGAAGAGCACGAAGTTGCCTACAGTTGGCTACGGGCATTCAAAATGTGGCCCGGGAATGGAGTTCTGGGAACTCGAAGAGCACGAAGTGGCCTACAGTTGGCTCCGGGCATTCAAAATGTGGCCCGGGAATGGAGTTCTGGGAACTCGAAGAGCACGAAGTGGCCTACAGTTGGCTCCGGGCATCCAAAATGTGGCCCGGGAATGGAGTTCTGGGAACTCGAAGAGCACGAAGTGTGTGACTGTTGCATCCGGTTATTCTAAAAGTGGCCCGGGAATGGCGTTCTGGGATCTCGAAGAGCACGAAGTGTGTGACTGTTGCATCCGGGTATTCAGAATGAGCCTGGGAATGGACTTCTGGGAACTCGAAGAGCACGAAGTGTGTGACTGTTGGTGAAAAACGAGGTGGACACAACCCGCCCGGCAACTCCCAACACCTGCCCGGACCCCCCTTGTGGAGTGATCTGTGAGCTCTTTTGACACCACTAGAAACCTATCAGTCTTCGCTGTTAGGTAAAAACACGACTGTCGGCATGCTTCGCAAGAGTTGCTGCTGTGAAATGGGCTGGTGGGGATACGCGAAGCGTAAAGAATAATCTCCCAATTCCAACCACGAATGACCCCAATCTTTTGGATCCTGCACGGCCTGACGAATAGCTCCCAGAAAACCTCGCATCTCGGTGACATGTATCGGCTCGTACGTGAAGACGGGTTGGAATCGCTCGACCGACCACGACGTGGACTCTACCACGTTCGCGGGCACCTCGGGGAACTCCCTATTAACGTAGACGTTGCTGAAATCGACCTCCTTATCTTCCCAGACTCCAACCCCCAGCACCGAGACGTCCTTCAACGCGTTGGCGCGCGGGTTGAACCCTGCTGGGTCCTCGTCGTTCTTGAACCGCCACCTCTCATGCCACCTACCTACAGACTGTACATCTCCCACCGTCCAGGCCCCCCTTACTGTAGCGTGCCCAGACTCACACGCATCATAAGCCAGGACATCCTGGGACCAGTTTGGATCCAGGTCCCGGGAGGCAAAAATCAGAAGCCCTTGGATCGAGCGGAGCTCGCGGAAAACGCTTTTCCAAAGGATCCCGGGCTCCTTAAGATTTCCTCGGGCAAAGTCATAGCTAGCACGCAGACAACTGAGGAGTTCACGTTTTAGCAAGGCTACGAAAGTAAAATGGCCAATCAGCCGTTCGAGCTGGCGGCTGGTCATCGGCGGCCGCCGGCGATGGATCCACTCCAGCGCCTTCCAGAGCCCCCAGTACCGCTTGGCCGCAATGGCCACGCGGCAAGGCTGCCCCTGCTGCACGACGCCCAGCATCTCCATGCTCTCGGCTGCGTCCGACTCGCCATGGGTGGCGTAGCCCGCCGCCTGCAGCGCCTCGCACGCCACTCGGCGCAGCCGCGTCACCTCGTCCCTGTCGTGGCCCTCGATCAGCACGTTGTCCACGTAGACCGCGCGCAGCGCGCCCTCCTCTGGCAGGGGCGGTGGTCGAAAGTCAATCGCCCGACGTCGTGGCCCCAACTCGGGTACTCCGTCGAGCACGCGTTCATGAATGCGCTGAACGATGTACAGTGCCCACCTCCAGCCCATGGGAACCACATTCATCAGAGGATGGAGCACGGTGTCCCCGGCCAGGTACTGCCCATCCAGCTGTGTGATGCCGACCTCGCTCGCCTTCCCAGCGTCCATCCCGAAGTAGGGCTGCAGCCAGGCCGGCATGCGGTGCTGGTAGAACGCGTTCTGAACGTCTCCCCCTGCATAGAAAAGTTGACGGCCCTCTGGGACCTCCACCTCGGCGAAACTGCTGCCGGAGAGGAGGTGCACCTTGGGCGCGTCCACGAAATGCTAGTTGCTGCGACGGCAGTCCACCACGATGCGAATCTTGCCGTCCTTCTTCTTGACGAAGAATATCTGGATGGCCTCCTTCCGACGACGCGCCGGGCGGAAGATCCCGCGGGCGAGGCCGCCCTGGATGAAGCCGATGTAGGCGCTGCGGTCCTCCTTCAAATTGGTATCGCCATACAGCGTCGGCAGACCCTCGTCCTGCCGCACCTGCTGCGCCTCGCGCGGCTGCCGCAGCCACACGTCGCGCTGGCCCTCTGTCAAGTACTGGAGCAAGTCCAGCGGCGCGTTGGTGGCCAGGGGCGCGGGCGCGTTGCCTTTGGCCGGCCAGCTGACCAGGTCGCGCGAGTAGGCCGAACGGGGGAAGTCTCGTCACCATCCGTGTAGGTCGAGGGCGCGCTCCCGAGAAGCTCATCAAAGGCTTCCTTCGGAGTAAACGAATTCCCCGGCACGGGGGCGCGGGCCGAGTGCAGCGCCCGCGCATCACTGTAGATCAAGGCGGAGGGGCCACTCAAGTCGGTGACGGACTCCACCTCGGGCGTCTCAAAACCCGCCGGGAGGTTGATCGCGCGAATGGTGGCGCACGTGGCCTCCTGAACCTTCAATCGTCGACGAACTCTCTGCTCAGTGCCCCTCGACAATCGCGTGCTCCCATTGTCGCGCTGCTCCACCCGTGGGCAAGCGAGGGGGAGAAAACCGCCCCCCTTCCCAGCAGCGGCATTCCGACGATGAATTGACCCCTTCTGCGTCCCGCTGCGGCCGGGGGCCTCCGCAGCGCTGCCTTCCCTCAGGGGCTGGCCTTGCCAGCACTTGACTTGCCTCCCTTGTTCTTCTTGGCGG